GGGAAGGGTCAGAGAGAGAGGGAGTGACAGACTCTGAAACAGGCTCCAGGCTCCGAGCTGGCAGTCAGCACAGAGCCCGACGCGGGGCTCGAACCCACGAACCGCGAGATCATGACCCAAGCGAAAGTCGGACGCTCAACCGACTAAGCCACCCAGGCGCCCCTTTTCTTCCCAAGTAATCTTAAGCAGAAATCTAATAGACAAAACAGAAAAAAATGAAGCTTATTATTCCAATAAAGAAAAACCAAAGACAACATAATATTCATCACTAAGGGAATTAAGATGCTGAGAAAACCCTGTCATGTGGATCTATATAGACTGAAAGAAAAGAGACAAACAGAGTATGTTGAGGGGTGAAAAACTGCAGTACATTCTGTACAACTCCCATGAAACTATCTTCATATGTATACAGAAAAGACACCAAAGTACTAAAGAGTGATATTCTTAGGGAGCAAAACTAGGACGGGAGTGGTTTCATAAGTTTATGTACCTCTAACATTGGATTTACTTACAATGAGCATGTTACTTCTAAAACTTAAAAACCAAATAACTGGATATCCACATGCAAAAAACTGAGGTAGACCCTTACTCTACAAAAATTAACTCAATATGGATCAAGCATTTATGATGATGATGATGATGATGATGATGATGATGATGATGATGAAAGAAAGAGCACACGCCAGGGAGGGACAGAGAGACGGAAGAGAAAAACCCCAAGCAGGCTCCATGCTGTCAGCACAGAGCCCAATGCGGCCCATGAACCATGAGATCATGACCTGAGCTGAAACCAAGAGTCGGACAATTAACTGACTGAGCCCCCCAGCTGCCCCTGGATCAGATCAAAGATTTAAATGTAAAAGCTCAAATTCTAAAACCTATGGAAGAAAACAGAGGGGAAGGACACTGGGTTTGTGACACTGGATTTGGCAATAATTTCCTGGATGTCATCAAAAGCAGAAGCAGCAAAAGACAAAACAGATAAAGCCAACTTCTTCAAACTTTAAAACTTCATGCATCAAAAGACATCACCAAGAAAAGTAAAAGGCAGCTCACAGGATGCGAGAATATATTAGCAAATCACATGTGATAAAGGATTAATGCCCAGAACATATATAGAACCTACATATGTAGGACAACAAAAAATATACAATCCAATTAAAAAGCAGCCAAAGGACTCAAAGCGACATTTCCCCCAAGACAGACAAATGGCCAACAAGCTCATTAGGGAAATGCAAATCTAAACCACAAGAGATCATTTCACATCCATCAGGATGACTGCAACCAAGCAAACAAAGTAACAAGTGTTGCCAAAAATGTGGAGAAATAAGATCCCTTGTGCACTGCTGATAGGCATGTAAAATGGTACAGCCATTATGGAAAACATGGCCGTCCTAGAAAAAATTAAACAGAATTACTATATGATGCAGCAATTCTACTTTTAGGCATGTAGCCAAAAGAAATGAAAGCAAGGACAGGAGCAGACAGTTGTACACCCGTGTTCACAGAAGCATTCCTGGATGTGAGGGCCACCAGCTGCAGTATCTCACGCCAGCTCCCCAGGATGATCTGGCACACGTGGCTGGCTAAATGAGTGTCTCCTTCCTCCCTCACTGTGCGGCCCTCCCGAAACCTCCCCCAAAGAGCAGGACCATTCTTCAGTCAAGGGTACACGGTGGCACTCCCCTGTTACAGGCCCCCAGAAAGCAAGTTCTCAAGGCCCACAGCAGCATCACCCACAAGAGCCAAAAGGTGGAAGTAACCCAAGTGTGCATGGACAGATGAATATGGAATGTGGTATATACACAGAATGGAATATTAGTCTTGAAAGGGAAATTCAGGCACGTAATATAACAGATGATCTTTGAAGACATTATGTTAAGTTAAATAAACCAGTCACAAAAGGAAAAATAGTGATTCCACTTCTATGTAATAGTACTCAGACTAGTTGAATTCATAGACACGGAAAGCAAGCGGTGGTTGCCAGGGATTGAGAGGAGTGAAATGGGTAGCTCAGTCTTTAAGGGGCAGAGTTTCAGCTTACGAAGGGGTCAAGGTTCTGGAGATGGATGGGGGTGATGGTTACACAACTGTGTGTCACACAACTGACACAGAACGTAAAAATGGCTAAAATGACTAATTGTTCATTATGAGTATTTTACCATTTTTGAAAACTGCTACCACCTTTTAAAAAGAAATCCGCTCTGGAAAAAGGGGCTGGGGGCACTCTGAGCCATTATCCAGCTATGCTCCATAGACCAAGCTGAAAACCACAAAATTTAGTGAAAGTGATAAAAATGGACCACTGGCGGAGGGAATAGCGCTTACAGAAGGTAAAAGCACGGGGTCAGACCATTTGAAAAACAGACCGCACTCTTTTACAGTCATGAAACTGCATCTTCATGAACAAAATACCTTTGCTTCCTCTGCCATTTTCTTCTCTTCATCCACCTCTTCCGTCTTTGCTGAATCTTCGCTTTGGAGTTTTCTTCTCTTTTGCTTGGGAGCCATGAAGCCTTGGAGAAACTTCTTTATGACACTGGCTTGTAGGGCAATCACACACTCACCAAAATCCTTCAGTTTCTCTAATGAGATCACCTACAGGAAATGATGGAAACACCAGAATGAATGCTAGGGCAAGATGCAAGGAGACTATCCTCAGGTGGTTAAAATCCACCTGGACCCCAAATGGGTCACACAGCATGAATTTACTTCAGTTCCTCAGTTCAGGGGATGGTTTATACATTTAAAAGCAGCTCATTACTTCCATTTCCCCAGCAATGGGACCCACGGGATGCTGAAACTTGCTCTACTTAGTAAGCGAGGGAAGCTCAGCAACTGAGTGCCTACTATGTACAAACTGCAGTCTCAAGGTAAAGAGAAACTGAGAAAGAAAATAAACATTTACTGACCCACTGGCTTACAAACTATAAGCAGGTAAATATCCTTTCCACACTTTTTCATCTAAGGCTCTCATTTATTTCCTGGATAAGAAAACAGAAGCTAAATCATTTTGATTCAAAGCATATGCTTAAGTGAACACTACTTTCTCAGTCACACAAAACATGCCAATTAGAGATACCACCTCAGAACAACAAAGAAAGATGAATGATGGCAACCCAATGTTAGCAAGGTGTAAGCCTGGGTCTGGCACAAAGTAGGCAGTTGATAAATATTTGCTAAATAGTATGTTGAAACTGGCAAAATCCTTTAGGGTTGAAGAATTCTTTAAAAAATCATTAAGAACAACAAAGATGTTTAAATCCTTTTTCTCAGGAAATGTGCCACGAATTCATAAGCAGACAAATTAAGAGAAAGGGCTGGGGGTGCCTGGCTGGCTCAGTCGGTGGAGCCTAAGACTCTGGATCTCAGGATCAGGAGTGTGAGCCCCACACTGGGCATGGAGACGACTTAAAAAAAGAAAAAGAAAAAGAGAAAGCTGCATATATATTTTACCAATTCTAATAGCAAAGACACAGAAATACAAGTCTGGCTGTTAAGAGAGCCACCCTATCAACTTCTTGGGTTATAATGTACGCCAAAGTGACATAAAGACTGAAAACAATAGAATGTATTTATAAATTAGGAAAAATGGGGAGAAATGATGCAACGGCTCATAAAAACCACACGACTAATACACGTTATAATGCATATGTATAATCTGAAAACACCCACGTGTTAGTTAGTACATTTGGAGTTATATGATCTTTTATTATTTAAAATCAGTAAAAAGCACTTTCTGACAACAACTGATAAACAGTATTTTCGAATCTTCTCTCTGGCTTGTGGTACCTAAACCTACCTCACATGGAACATGGGGTCTCCTGAACTGGTTCATCCACAGCCCATATGAGTCTTTTGGAGCAGTAAATGGCCAGGCCATAAACAGGCCTTGAAATGCATCCATTTTTCAGCACAAGTGCTACCCAACACTAAACAGACCCTAGTGAGCCGATCAGTGTCAAGGATGAACAAATGGGGATACACAAACATGGTTTTTTTTTTAATTTTTTAAATGTTTTTTATTTATTTCTGAGTGAGAGACAGCATGAGCAGGGAAGGATCAGAGAGACAGGGAGACACAGAATCCAAAACAGGCTCCAGGCTCTGAGCTAGCTGTCAGCAGAGCCCAACGCGGGGCTTGAACCTACAACCCATGAGATCATGACCTGAGCTAAAGTCGGATGCTTAACCGACTGAGCTGCCCAGACACCCCTACACAAACATGTTTCAGACCTTAAAGCACAGGACCGATTACATGGGAATGTTAAATAGATATGTTAAATAATGTTCCAGAACTCTGACTCCAAAACCAGTTTTCTATTCAACTTAAAAGAAAAGCACTTTTTGGAGAGCCTGGCTCAGTCAGTGGAGTGTTTGACTCTTGATCTCAGGGTTGTGGGTTCAAGCCCCATGGTGGGTATAGAGATTACTTAAAAATAACATCTTAGGGGCGCCTGGGTGGCTTAGTCGGTTAAGCGTCCGACTTTCGCTTAGGTCATGATCTCACGGTTCGTGGGTTCAAGCCCCGCGTCGGGCTCTGTGCTGACTGCCGGCTCAGAGCCTGGAGCCTGTTTCAGAGTCTGTGACTCCCTCTCTCTCTGACCCTCCCCTGCTCATGCTGTCTCTCTCTCTCCCCAAAAAAAAAAAAAAAAAAATAACATCTTAAAAAAAAAAAACCAGAACTCTTTTTGAACAAAGGATCGAAGTGTACGATTAGATTTTTTCCAGATATCAAAGGATAACTATCACATGTACATAGAGAATTTTTGGCTCCACAGGTCTTTCAGGACAAACCCACATGTGATTTCCAGGATTTTCTGGGGAAGTCAAGAACAGTATCAGGGCACAATTCCAAATTGAGTTTCCATGAGTAACAGATTTCACTGGGTGTTTATGTTCTTACCCTTGCTTCAAATTCTGAGGTTTCTTCCACATAACCAAGTCCCCCCTTTTGTAACCTTGTTGCAACTTCAATGAGATCACTTCGAAGAAAGTTTAAAAGCTCCTGGTTGCCATCACAGGATTTTAGACCCAAATTTGGCTTCCGGGCCAGATGAATAGAATGGATAATGTCCTGGTACCTAGAAAAGTTGGGGTAGAGGGAAGGGAACATAAAGGAACATTTTTAAATAGTCTATAAATTTCAATGACTTTGAATGGCAGGTCTCATTTCTAGAAGACTTACTCAGACTTTTTTCATCTCTCCTTGGGGTTTCTTCAGATTCTTGCACAAATTTTCAAATTTTTCTTATTGATTCATTTAAAAAACACCCTTCTTTTATTCTGTATCTGATAATTCCTGTACTTGAAGTGTACTGTTTTACCTGGCTCTCATTCACATTTCCTGGTCTGTGTTTTGTTTTATTTATTTATTTATTTATTTTTTACCTTTTTATCGTTGAGTTTCTTGGGATTTTATCTGTGGAAATTCTTTGAGGCCTGGTTTGAAGCTGTGTTGCTCCACAAAAAAATGTGTACTTGCTCATGTCAGCTGCCAGGAATTGCTACCAACCTGAGATAACTTTAAATTACCTGCCTGGAATTCCTTACAACATAGAAAAAAACACGAAACTGAGCAGAGACTCTATAGAAGGACCTTCAAGTTCACTCTCAAACTACAGATTAACCCGCTGAAGACCCAGCAACAGACTTTCTTCTCTGTTGGCTTCTTACAACAAAATGAAAACTAAAGCTCAAGGTCATCTCTGTTGAGTTAGACTAAGTTCCCATTTTGTTTATTCTAAGCACTTTTAATATTATTTTCCTCTGAATACAACTTTCACTGTGTCCCACTGGTTTTTACAAAGAATCTTCCTTTCCTTGCTTTCTAGAACTCCCTTTTATTTTCTTCTTTGCAACGTTACCTAGGAATAATATTTAACTATCAGTTAAGATCATTTTGGTCATCTTTGAAGAATTTATTTCTAATTTTATCATAATCTGATCAGAGAATGTATCTTGCAATTATTATTATTATTTTAATGTTTATTTTGGAGAGAGGGAGAGAGAACAAGAGCAGGGAGGGGCAAAGAGGGAGACACAGAATTCGAAGCAGGCTTCAGGCTCTGAGCTGTCAGCACACGCAGGGCTCGAACTCACAAACTTTGAGACCATGACCTCAGCCAAAGTCAGACGCTTACCCGACTGAGCCACCCAGACGCCCCTTAAATCTTTTGAGATTTCTTTTGTGGCTGAGTATATGATTACCTTTTATACATGTTCAATGGGTAAACAAAAAACTTCACTTCTCTGTTTCCAACTGGCCTGGTATCTTCTATTTTGTTTTAAATTGAGGTGAATAATTGAGTGCACACCCTTTATATTTTCCATCACTTATTTTCTTGTAAAGAGCATATACACTTTTGTTTTATAAATTTGTTAAGTTTTTTTAATGTTTTATTTATAAGAGAGAGAGACAGCATGAGCAGAGGAGGGTCAGAGAGAGAGGGAGATACAGAATTTGAAACAGGCTCCAGACTCTGAGCTGGCTGTCAGCACAGAGCCCGATGGAGGGCTCGAACCCACAAACTGTGACATCATGACCTGAAGTCAGACGCTTAACTGACTGAGCCACCCAGGGGCCCCATAAATTTGAACCTCAAATGGTTTGTGATACCTTATCCTATCCCTATCCCCTTGGCCACCACCAATAAGAGAACGGATAAATTAGATTCACAAAGATTACACATATTCATAGAATCATATATAGAAAGGAAAACCGATGGAATTCAGTTATAAAAATCAAGGATGGAACCTGAAACTAGTATGTTGTATATCAACTATACTTCATTAAAACAACGATTTTTAGTACAAGAATGCTAAGTAAAAAACATAAAATCTCAAAGACCACATATGCTTGATATCCTCTAAAAAGTTCAAAATCGGCAAAACAAGATATGTGAGATTTTAATGTTCAACAAAAGAAAAAAGTTGAAGTTTTGTTTTTAATTCCAACTAACAAACACTTTAACCAAACAGAAGGAACGTCAAAGAACTGTATTCCTTTCTGGTTCTGTGTATCAACATTTTCCCTTGTCTTTCTTAATTTGCCCGGTCATATCTATATTAAAGCACCATGATTCAGAATGCCATCTTAATTAATTTCCACATTAAGTAGGATACTAAAACTAGCATCCTGTACCCACCATCACTTACAAAAGTCTGGAGAAGTTGCATCTATGTACTGAATGATATTTTCCTTCTCACTTCAACCAATCCTAAAGTAACCCTGAAAGTATGCAGTCGATACTAAAGGTGGCCTTAAGGGGCGCCTGGGTGGCTTAGTCAGTTAAGCATCCGACTTTCGCTTAGGTCATGATATCGCAGTTCGTGGGTTCGAGCCCCGCGTCGGGCTCTGTGCTGACTGCCAGCTCAGAGCCTGGAGCCTGTTTCAGTTTGTGACTCCCTCTCTCTCTGACCCTCCCCTGTTCACGCTGTCTCTCTCTCTCTCCTAGAAATGAATAAAACATTAAAAAAAATTTTTTTAAAGGTGGCCTTAAGCCAAAACTTTGCCCTGCCTTTGACAGGAACAATGGCTAGAGTTGAACGGACACTAGCAAATCTAAGATGTAGACAATTTTTATTTCGAGGGGCTTTTTAAGACAGAATTCACATTAACATTAAACTCACCATTTTAAAGCATACACTTCCAGTGGTTTTTTGGAACCGTTAAAACTACCTAATTCCAAAACTTCCATCATCCCATGAAGAAATCCCACACCTGTGAGCAGTCACTCCCAATTCTCCCCCCTTCCCCCACCCCCTGGAAACCACCAATCTACTTTGTCTCTATGGAGTTGCCTATTCTATAAGCTTTACACAAATGGAATCCTAAAATATGTGGCTGTTTACCTAGCCTCTTTGACTCAACCTGTTTTCTAGTTTCAGCCATGTTGTAGCATGTACCAGTACTTTGTTCCTTTTTATGGCTGAATTTATGGAGATGCTACATTTTGTTTATCCATCAGCTGATAGACATTAGGTTATCTGCATTTTTGGGCTATTTTCAATATTGACAATACTTCTGAATACCAACTGATGTGGCATTGCCCCTGCAAAGCTGCCTAAACAGCTCGGTGAGGACCTCAGCTGGGTGCATAGCACACGTTAATCAACAAATAACCCTGCTACCCTACATATACATGGTTTAAAAGCAGGTTTTTCCAAATAAGCAGGAGTCAAGAAAATACCAAGCAACAAGAGCATAGAAGGGTTGCAGACACTTTTTTAATATGTGCCTTGAATACCTTTTATGAATAAACAAACAAAAGGTCTAAGGTGTTTAAATGCTGAAGAGAAGATGTGAGGAGCAAGATGGAAACCCTTACCTCTTCTCCAGTCTCTCTTTGAGCTGACTTTCTCTTATTCCCTGAGGGTGAAGGCAGTTTAACAACTCATCCAGTTCCTTCTGACTATCACATAAAAACCTGCAATGAGCAAAACAGACCTAGTAACTCTGAAAAACAATCAAATCCTAAGAAAGACATCTAGGGTTGTTGGTGGGAGTCTGGAGAGAATTCCAAACTTGCTCACAAGTAGAACAAATAATTTACTATTTCCATGAGGCGTAGTGTTAACTTTATCTTACAATATTGGAGCCAATGTTTCCTACTAAAATAGACAAATTTTATAAAATTAATAAACACAACTGTCATACACCTTCAAAAGAGTAAACTTATATATAAAACTAAAAGATAAAAGGTCATTAAACTAAAAGCAATCGGAAGCCGAACAGTTAATGCAATCACAAAGAGAAAGGGACACTCTCAAAACCTAGCTCTCAGTCTGAAAGAGAATTGACACAAGACTATTACTATGCATACAATATTTTATCCTTTAATTAATAAAGATGAAAATCCTGAATCTATTCCCAGATTGAAAAGCACTTCCACTGCAATGTAAGACCTATCACAGAACACATCCAGTTACTTTACAAGGGGGAAATAAAACTCCAAAGCTTAGAAAAAAACATATTCTTACCCAAAAAATCAAATTTGCTTTTAAAGAAATGAGTTTACATATTTAAGAAATCAAAGTCATATAAAATTATCTTATGATCACTGGTATCATCACATTAAATATTTTCTTTCTTTTTTTTTTTTAATTTATGTATCTTGGGAAAAAGAGAGAGAGTGTGAGCATGTGCACACAGGTGCGTGAGAGGGGAAGGAACAAAGAGGGATTGAGAATCCCAAGCCGGCTCCATGCTATCCGTGCAGGAGCCTGACACAGGGCTCAATCTCACATGATTTAACTGTGAGATCATGACCTGAGCCAAAATCAAGTCAGACGCTCAACTGACTGAGCCACCCAGGTGTCCCTAAAATATTCTCTTAACATAAAAAAAGAAAACAAGAGGGGCGCCTGGGTGGCTCAGTTGGTTAAGTGTCCGACTTCGGCTTAGGTCATGATCTCGCAGTTCATGGGTTCGAGCCCCGCAGCGGGTTCTGTGCTGGCAGCTCAGAACCTGGAGCCCGTTTCAAATTCTGTGTCTCCCTCTCTCTCTGCCTCTCTCCCATTCATGCTCTCTCTCTGCCTCAAAAGCAAATAAAAACTATAAAATTTTAAAAAAAGAAAAGAAAAGAAAAAACAATCAAGCAACCAGATGAATGCTCACGTTACCATAGATTCTGTCCTTGTTTGGGTACGGTGGTCTCCACAGCAATTTCTGTTGCTGGGCCAGGTTGTGTGTTCATGCTTACATTTTTGCCTAGGTTTGCTTTCTTACCTAAAAAAATTGAAACATTTGGTTGAATATAGTAAATAACCAATTCCTAGTTTCAAACCTCAGTGGGAAACAGTGCCAAAGCCAACAACTAATAACACAGATGCTGCCTATTAAATATATCCAATGTATAGCAGGTGCTAGTTTCTTTTAAACGTCTTATGTATAGCACATCATAGGAGATAACTGCTCTCTATGCAGCTGAACAGCTGTACAGTTCAAAGTTCAGAGTGTGGCAACTTAGAATGGAATGGGAGCACTGAGTAACTATACCCAAACAAATAAATTTACTCCTTGTGCATCTGTAGTGAAGTAGAGTCAAGTGAAATATATAAAACTATAAACTTACTCCTGGAGGCTTCAAATGTCAAACATGATTAACTTTTTTGTAAGCCAGCTCCCATCTACCATTAGGACATGAATACAGATAGATTTTAAGCCAATCTCTGAGGCCTCGCCTAACACTCTCATGGCTTGTGTCCCTGACTCCCATTCTGCCCCCTTTACTCTGCGGCACTTTCCCAGCAGTACAAACACATGATCCTACTGTCTTGAGTCAGGTGACTTTGAAGTGACCTTGCCATGCCTGAATGAGGGAACATTAAGCAACAACATCCGCCAGGATGCGCTGGAAGTGAAGGGACTGATGTCCATCTTCTACTTGAGAGCTAGAACTATGTACGGAAACCTGATTTCTAAGGACAGCCATTAAGCTTTTGAAAAACATCATAAACTCAAGTCTCTCCTCCAGCTGCAAACTCTCCCCCCAGGTCAGAAGATCCAGACTTCACACTTACTGCTTTCAAACAGAAATGCCCTCACGTGGGTATTTACACAATCTACTAAAACTAGATTTTTCTAAGCACTACAATCTAACACTTTAATATAACACACAATATAAAAATCCCTTAACTGTGAAACTTTGAGCTATATATTAATTTCCTTATTTAACAATTTTGTGACTTTTAAGTTTGGGTTAGGAGCTTCTCTAAAATGAAGGAAAACTGCCTTAAAAAAAAAAATCTCTCAAAGAAACATTATGATCTAACATTTGAGCAGTAATTTTCAGTAGGTCATGGAAAGGAGAGCTAGTAGGAAGCTTGCAGATCATTTAACCCAGGGGTTCTTGATAGGGAGCCAGGCTGCCTCCCAGGAGCCATGTGGCCATATCTAGAGACATATTTGGTTTTCCCTATCGCATCTAGTCCACTGAGGTCAGGGATGCCGCTAAATATCCGACATGGCACATGATAACCTCCGACTACAAAGAATTATCTGACCCAAAATGTCAATAATGCAGAGGCTGAGAAAACCTGACCAACCTAACCATTTGGTTTTTTTTTTTAATTAAAACCTTTTCCTTTTAATTTTTCTTGAAACATTATACGTATTATATATATTACATATGTAAATGTTACATGTTATATGTATTCAATATATACATCAAGAAAAAAGTACTCTTGTATATTTTACAAACTGAACACACCCATGTAACTAGAACCCAGAACAAGAAAAAGAACATCAGTATACCTTTATGACCCTTTCTCCATTACTTACTTTTAATTATTTGCTGTGTTTCCCCCCACTAAAATTTTAGTTAAATGGCATTCAGGACCTTATCTGTCTTGCTTGTTATCTTGCAGGAAAACAAGAAAAATTGGTTGGCACACATGAGATGCTCTATAAATACTGAATAAACTTTGGAAGACGTATAACTGCCTTCCTAGCCTCTTCACCTCAGTTCTAGCCAATAAGGTACCTACAAGAGACTCAAGGGACAGAGTTTGAAGATTACTTGTATAAAATCTAATACCCCAAAGTCCTAATATTCAAGTTCTTTATCACTGCACACTATATCTAGAACAAAATTGTTAATCAAATGTTAGTTTCCTTCCTTCTTCCGTGCATTTCACATTCTCCCACCCCACTCAAATACATCTACCTAAGAAGACAATAAAGAAATCTTACAAATGGAAAAAGTGACTGAGGAAGACAGTCATTATTAAGGACTGTACTCAAACAGGGTAAAAGAACTGGTAGATATACATACTTCGGGGACAGTAATCCTCATCGGAAAGGTCCGCACGGTCTTTGCGGTGATTGAATCGGTAGTCGATGCTGTCGTGTACCCAGCCTTTTTCGATGAACAATCCTGGAACCTCATCTGAGAAGAGCCAGTATCTATAAATCACAACCAGATATTAATAATAACGACAGATTATGAGCACAGGATGACTTGATTTGTTGGGGGAGATGATTACACAGTATCACTAACATTCAGACAGATACAAATGATAAAGTAAGGCACAGAATACCAACATTTTTGAAATTTGAGATTTGCTTCATAGCAGTAATTTTTATAACCAATATTTCTCTCTCTAGGTTCCATACAATGTACACACGTAAAATATATCACAATTTTTAATGAACTCTATTTGAATTACATTTCACCAGTCACAATAATTTAAGCTTCATATCTGTAGTATCTTCAAGAACAGGGTCATGTCTTACTTAACTTTGTAACTCTAGCACGTGGCACAGAAAATATTCAATGTGTGATGAGCGATTGTTTCCAAAATCCATAAATAGGGAAGCCTGTCTATTCTTAGTACTTTAGACAGTTTCATAACTAGGAATAATATAACGGCCCTAGAGGATGACAAAAATGAAGTTTAATAACTTACCTGTTATGGTTTCGATCTGTACCAATAGGAGTCCTGCGCATGACCAGCTTTGCCTTGGCAATTCCTTCCTGGAAAGCCTTCTCGGCAGCTGCTTTGTGCTTTCGTATTCTTTCTTCTTCAGCTTCACGTTCCAGTTTCACTGTTACAGATAAAAAGAATCAACTAGATTTTTTTTTCCTAATAAATTCCACTCTTTCAAATTAAGTAAGATATAGAGTAGAAAGTATAAAGCAGATTTTCCATCAAACCTTATTAGTTTCCTTCTCCTAATTCTGATCTGTTATAAGAAGTGATGTGCTGCAAGGCTGGTTCCCCTATGTCCTTCAAATTCTGGCAATGCTGCAACCATCAACTTAATGCACAATCTTTTCTCTCCAAAATGTAACTCCTTATTAATTTTAATAATCAAAATAGATTAATTCTATTAATAATTTAAAATGGGACAATAAAACAGTCCCTAAAGGGAATTAATTGATCCTCAAAATTATGAGAATAAAACCAGAATAAGTATTTTGGAAACATATTTTAGTCCTGACGAATTTGATTATTATTCAGCCTTAGTAACAAGCAAAAAATACTGAGAAATCAAGGGCAGGCAAGCACTTGGGGATAATACTACTCACTGCATACTGAATACCATTTGGAGATCATTCAGCAAGTAACTACTGTTACAGATGAAAAAAAAGTTTTACTCAATTTATTTCTAACCATTCATTATATGGGTTTATTTCTTTCTTTTTTTTAAAATTTTTTTAATGTTTTATTTATTTCTAGGAGAGAGAGAAAGAGAGAGACAGCATGAGCAGGGGAGGGTCAGAGAGAGAGGGAGTCACAGACTCTGAAACAGGGTCCAGGCTCTGAGCTGGCAGTCAGCACAGAGCCCGATGCTGGGCTCGAACCCATGAACCGCGAGATCATGACCTAAGCGAAAGTCGGATGCTTAACAGACTAAGCCACCCAGGCGCCCCTATATGGGTTTATCTCACCCAGCCAGAAATTTCTCTCAACAACAGAAACAGCTCAGTAATCTTGTCTTGTAAGTTTTTCTGTAACTGTCACAAATTTTGAAACTGTAAGTATATGGTGCTATTTACAAGGCCAGATTTTTATTAACACTGATCTTCTAATAATGACAGCTTCTACAATATGGTAAGAATCTGGAAACCACACCAATCTACAGATGTTACTTTAAGACAAATCTCAGTTATTTAAAACCAACATGATACTTGTTACCTTTACAAAGTTCGCTCTCCTGAATGGAACTGTATGTTTGCACCAAGGATTACAGTAAATACCAGTACAAAGGGATTTATATCTAGAATATATAAAGATCTCTTACAACTCAATAACAGAAAGACAAATAACCCAATTTGAAAATGTACAAAAGACTGGAATATTCCTCCAAAGAAGAAACACAAATGACCAACAGGCACATATGGAGATGCCTGACATCATTAGTCATCGAGGAAATGCATTATCAAAACCACAATGATATACTAATTCACAACCACTAGAATCAACGAGTCATTTAGTAACAAATATTGTTGATGCAGAAAAATTAGAATTCTTGTACACTACTGATACATTTATATGTAAAATTGTGCAGCCACTTTGGAAAAAGTCTGGCAGTTCCCCCAAACAGTTGAGGATAGCAACCATATGACCCAGCAATTCCATTCTGGTATATACCTAAGAGAAACGAAAATGCCCAGACAAAAACTTATACACCAATGCTTACAGCAGCCATATTCATAGAAGCCAAAATGTGGAAATGAACCAATCATCCATCAACTAATGAATAGATAAACAAAATGTGGTATATCCAAACAATGGAATATCATTCAGCCATAGAAAGAAATGAAGAACTGACACCTGCCATAACATGAGCGAACCTTGACAACATTATGCTGAGTGAAAGAAACCAGAAACAAAAGACCATGCATTTATTCTAGGATTCCATTTACAATGTCAGAAAAGGCAAGCCTGGATGAACAGAGTGATGATACCCAAAGAGTATAGGGTTTCTTTCTGAGATGGGTACGTTCTAAAATTATGATGAAGTTGCACATATCTGTGAGTATATTAAAAAAAACAATGGTGGGGGCGGGTGCTCAGTTGGTTAAGTGTCCAACTCTTGATTTCAGCTCAGGTCATTATCTCAGTTTGTGAGTCTGAATCTCATGTTGGGCTCTATGCTGACAACGCAGAGCCTGTTTGGGATTCTCTCTCTCCTCCTCTCCCTGACCCTCCCCTACTCGCACTCTCTCTCTCAAGATAAACTTTTTAAGTTTATTAAATTTATTTTTTAAAAAACCACTCAAGATGCCCAGGTGGCTCAGTCGGTTAAATATCCGACTTCAGCTCAGGTCATGATCTCGCAGTTCAGGAGTTCATTCAGCTCTGTGCTGACAGCTCAGAGCTTGGGGCCTGCTTCAGATTCAGATTCTGTGTCTCCCCCCTTTCTCTAAGCCCCTCCCCCATGTCTCTCTCAAAAATAAAATAAAACATTAATAAAAAAAATTTAGAAACAACAATACATCAAAAAGAAACAACTATGAGTTATTCATTCAATGGAGAAGTTGTACGTGTGGTGTGTGAACTATTTAATAAAGCTGTTTACAAAAATGTTCAGGTGCACCTGGGTGGCTCAGTCGGCTAAGCAGCTCACTTTGGCTCAGGTCTTGATTTCATGGTTCATGAGTTCAAGCCCCGCAATGGGCTCACTGCTGTCCGTGCAGAGCCTGCTTCAGATCCTCTGTCCCCTTCTCTCTCTAGCCCCTCCTCTGCTCACAAGCATGCATGCTCTTTCTCACTCAAAATAATAAATATTTTTTAAAATGTTCAGATTTGATGGTGTTATCAAAACCCAAAATTTTTACATTCTTACACCTTAACAAGGGAAAGATCAATACCTGAGTTGGCAACTGTGCTGAGGGCTTCAAAGACCTTGTCATTCAATTGTTTAACAATCTTAACAAGCATGAAGGAACAGAGGCATGAATAAGTAACTTTCCCAAAGGAACAGAGCTAAGTCAGAGGTAAGGTTTGGAACCAGGCCAGCAATCCACTATGCCCATTTGTGGTTTTGATCCTTTACTAAATCTAGAAAAGATGCCAATGTCACACTCATCTCAAACCATCCCTAACTGCAGAATGCCTGGCTGAACTCTCCTGACAGAATACTGCCTAACGGGGGGGCGTGGGCTGCTGCATACAAAAACAACCAAACAGTTGTGACAAGGAGAGACTATACCATTACCTTGGCAATTTCCTTCCTTCTACCACCTTCTAAAGGGTTTCCCTTCTGCTCCCAACACAAGGCTTTCTTTACCTTTCATTTCTCTCTCCTGGATCTCCCGCTCCTTCTTGGCCTGGATGGCAAGCAGCCGCCTGCTCTTCACTGCGCTAATCATGTCTTCAGCTCCCACATCTACTTGGGGCTCAAACTTCACAATCTCTTTTTTCCTATCAGGTTTGCCCAGCCCATTCTCCTCTTTTCCATTTTCCTTGTTTTTGGCTTCCATTTCTTTCCTTTTCTGTTTCTCTGCTCTCTTTTTATCATTCTCTTCCTTCAGCACAGCAAGCCGTTCTTTCCACAGCTCTGCAGACATCTGCTGTCTGGTTTCCATGTGGTCCTGCACCGAGTACGTCATGAGGATGCGGTGGCAGAGGGCCGTCAAGATCTGGAGCTTCTCTTCTGACGTCAGTTCAAAAAACTCTGAGGTCTCCAGCTTCTCTAGGAACTCATCTTGTACTTCATTATCCTCAAATGGTGCTGAATCTTTATTGTCATCCGTGTCTGAGCCCTCACTTTCTTCCTGAACATCAGATTTGCGCAAGCAGAGCCGCACCAGCTCTGAGACAGAATGTAGGGTCAGAGGGATTTCTGACAGCTTCATTCCCAATTCACCATAGTCCTCTGCTATTTCATCTTGTAATAAGGTCTGCAAGAGGATGACCAATACTCTATTCAGGTATAAAAAGCCACCTTTTTCTGCACTCAAGGCTTCCATGAGGGACACAGCAGTAATAGGGTACTGAGCATCTGGTAAGAGTAGCCCAGAGTAACAGCTCAAGAACTCCACCACCATGGCCACGTCCCCAAAGAGTGTGTTGGGCAGCCCTTCGGGGGTATCCACCAACCTAAACGCCGGAAGGCTTTTGCCAGTTAACTCTTGGTCCTCGTACCTCTTCTGCTTTTCTAGTTTCTCAAGCATTTCTTTCTCTCTCCTCTCCTTGGCTTTCTCCTTCAACTTTTCTTTCAGCTCCTCTCGTTTCTTTTTCAAATATTCTTTGCGTTGCTCTTCAGACATAGAGGCCCACCGCTTTTTGTGCTCTAGAAGCTCAAAGCGTTTTTGAACAATACTTCGCAGCTCTTCTGGGAGACGAGCTCTATCTTCACTGGAGAGCAGACGAGCTGTTTTGGAGATAACACAGGACAGGGCACTCTTCTTGTCCTCCCTGTCTTTGTTTTCTTTGTAGTAGGCAATAAGGTGTAGGGCGGCAGGAGGCAGATGTTTATGGGGTTTACTAGAGGACCTGGGTGTACCCCCAGAATTCCGTGGGGCTCGTGTCATCTTCTGCGTGCCTTTGGCCATATCCAACAAAGTCATCTGCTTCATTTTGGTTTTAGGAGTCTTCAAGCCCTTTTTGGGAGATTTGGAATTACCTGTGGATTTCTGTCCATTAAGGATGCCTTTGCTTCTGCCCTTCACTTTCAAAGGTTTGTCACTGTGCTTCCCTGATTTCTTGGCAGGTGGGCCTTTCTTAGGAATGTGAAAGTTGGCATGTAGCTTGTTGGGTGACATTATCTTCATCACTTCTTCCAGATGTTCTTCTGGAGATTTGGAATTCTTTGAGTTCTTCACTTTGAGTGGTGAGCCATTCAAGGATTTCTTCAAGTGTACGTGACACCATAACTTGGGGTTTAGTGGTGAACTCAGAGAAGAGTTGTCTGTCTTGGATTTTTTTGAGGGCTTCCTATCTGGGGATCCAGTATTCTTCCTCTTAGTAGAAGGGTTGAGAGTCATGTACTAGAATTTAAGAACAAGAGCAAAATTAATTTTAAACACTAATTTAAAGAAGCAACATTTAATCATCATACAGGCTCTCTTCCGCGGCTATCTGGGTAAAGATATATATTCATTTCTGTCCACAGACACTATGTCCCTAAACAAAGACATGAACATTAGCTAATATTTTGGCCATATCAATACAAAACTGATACCTAGACTTAAAAATCTATACTCTTAAAATTAAACATTTTTGCTATGTAACTATACGTGTTGTTTATATATAGTGCTAGCAATTCTTAAATATTTTAATGAAATCTGTGAACTCTTTCCCCAAAAGCAACATACAATAATTATGCATTCCATTTCAGAACCCATCTGTGGATCCCAGACTGAGGATACCTGATATAGATAATGGCAATATCTAAGGAGTTAATAAAGTATTACTCTGGATTTCTTATCCCTTAAACCTCTGTTCTGACTAAAAACATTCTACGTTTTTAAGTAGGAAGTATTTAAGTGTTTTTGTCTAAAAGCAGAAGTATATTTTCTTATTTACAGTATCACAACAAACTCACTGCTCATAAAGAGGGAGCCCTCCCAACCCTGGCCCTGGTTCCTCAAACTCCCCTTTGTCCTGTCCCCTCATTCCCATGAATACATTACTAACTCTAAGCCCTCTATATTCTCAATCTCATACAATCCCCTCACATCCTTCAAATTCACTCCCTCTAGTAGCCCAACTCTGCAATCCTTTAATCCCCCCAGGACCTTAAATCCATTAGTTCTATCACACTTTCCCCATACTTGCTCCCTTATCCTTCTTTATCCACTCTGAATTCCAGGCAGTTGCTATAATCAATCCTGCATGAACCTCTGGTTCCCTGGCCTCTCCTGCTCTACTACAACTAGTTCCCTGGCCCGCACGTGGTCAGCTTACACATGCATGGAATAAAAGATACAAAGACAGTGTGTGGTCTCGCTTTAAATTCAGAACCAGGTACCTCAAATGTACCCTGAACACCACTCCATAATGACTTAATACATTCCTTTAGTCTATTCACTTTCCTCTCCCCTGGACACACATCTCCTATCTCCTCAAACGTCCACCATATCCCTTCATAGAGAATTAACTAATAGGTTAAATTCAGTCTACTTGTAGTAACACCATGGTTTCTTTTAAAGGTGTATTTTTTTTAAAAAAAACTGTTGATTTTCAAACTTTAAAGAATGTAATTACAAAGAAAAAAAGCTTAGCAGCTAAACTGCATATCAAATGAAATAATTACCAAAGTAAAAGTAGAGCCAATTTCAAAAAAAATTCTAGTGACTAGGACAAAGATTAGAAAACCTCTAGAACATTTGATTTCTCTTAGTAAAAGCAACTAAGCACAGAGGGCACTCAGAGACCTAAGCCTAACTCAAAATTTCTGAACAGGAAGGACGAACTTGACAGAAGCTACATGTAGTCAGCAGCCTGGAGACAGCGGGTGAGACAGGCCTGCAGGAGAGGAGACTGCACGTGAGGAAGCAGCTCAATGCTACGCAACATGAAATGACGAAACCCTTTAAAAAGGTGAGGAGAAGAACAGGCGTCTGGGTGGCTCAGTCGGTTAAGCGTCTGACTTCGGCTCAGGTCATGATCTCTCAGTTCATGGGTTCGACCCCCACGTGGGGCTCTGTGCTGACTGCCAGCTCAGAGCCTGGAGCCTGTTTTCAGATTCTGTTATCTCCCCCTCTCTCTGACCCTCCTCTGCTCACGCACACACACACTCTCTCTCTCTCTCAGAAATAAATAAAAAACATTAAAAAATTTTTTTAAATAAAAAATAAAAAGGCAAGAAGGAAGTGCTACGAGGAGGACACCCCCGAGATGACAGGAAAGAATACCCACGCTCCTGTCGGGAATAAACAGGTATATAGTAAAACTTAATAGGCTGTACTGTAATACCAGGTAAGATTTAAGCATTACAGAGATAATCACCAGAGAAACAAACTCACAGAACCAAGGCAGCACAAGCAGGAGAAACATGGTCTGCAATGAATGAGTGGGCTATGCCTAACATTCTGCTTTTGGCTAAGTCCCCAACTTTAAAGATTTTATTTTTAAAGTAATCTCTATACCCAACATGGGGTTTAAACTAACAACCCCGAGATCAAGAGTCGCACGCTCTACCGACTGAGCCAGCCAGGCGCCCCCAAGTCTCTAACTTTTGCTTTTTGCGGACTACAGGCAATTACAGATTAGTGTTCCTCTGGCGGGCTGTTTTTGTTGTCTGACTGAAACTAGAAGTTCTGCTCCCCAATTATCATCCTCCATATCAGCTGACAAAGGGATTTCATACTTTACGGAACATAAACAGGATCTATCTATAACTCGGGGAATACTTTCTCCAGAAGCAGAATTTCCCAGTCTTAGTTTCCCAGAACAAAATTTCAAAATGTTATCAAGAGTAAGAAAAGATAACTTATGTGAGACTCCACTCTCCGCATGGACAGTAATAGTTCCAATACTCCAACGAGAATAGTATTTCAGATACCACCCTACAAATCATAGATAAAGGCCCAAAACCACTCAGGCAGCAATTAAAGACAAATGTGTGCCTTCTAAAAGTTTACAATCCTCTTAAACCAGCCTTGGAAAACCTTCAGAGTATAGACATAACAGACTGATACTTTTTCTAATGCTGAGGATAACAGGCTATATTTAAAGTCATTCTAAAATGAAATTAATCGGGGCGCCTGGACGGCTTAGTCGGTTAAGCGTCCGACTTTCGCTTAGGTCATGATCTCGCGGTTCGTGGGTTCGAGCCCCGCGTCGGGCTCTGCGCTGACTGCCAGCTCAGAGCCTGGAGCCTGTTTCAGAGTCTGTCGCTCCCTCTCTCTGACCCTCCCCTGCTCACGCTGTCTCTCTCTCTCTCCTAGAAATAAATAAAACATTTAAAAAAAAAAATTAAAAAAAAAAATAAAATAAAATGAAATTAATCACTAAAGGAGACTAGTATGAGACTGTTTCATTTTTACCATTTCAAGTAGATTTCTTTACATAGGGTCTATTATACTTGGGCAACTTAATTTACTGATTATTTTTCTATTTAAAAAGTCAAATTTTCATAAAGTTCTTTAAATTTCTTCTATTTAGATGCATTATACTATGCAGAAATGATGTAAGAGCTGGGATGGCTTAGCCATTAGAGGGTCCAGCAATCCGTTTTTATTTATAAGGTGTGTTTTTTTGCCAAATCACACCGTATAATTTTTTTTCTTAAAAATGAAAGAAATTAACTCACCCAACCCCCTCCCAACAGGCCGGCTCCCCGCGTGAGCAGTCCTTCTGTAACTGGATCGTCTCAGCATAGGGCATGCTGGGCAGTCACAGCCACATGGGAGCCGGCATGGCTGGACTCAGGGGGATCTGAAAAAGTATAAAACCACTTATGTGCTAAGGTTCTCCCTATCCCCTGTTCAGCCTAAGTAATCTACCAGAGTAGTGCACAAGGAAGAAGAAAAGAATGGACACCCAGAATAGCAGAATTACAGATTTTAGGCAAAGGCCCTTCCTAAGTACTAAACAAGAATGAAATATTGATGAATATCTCACAACGTGAAAGCCTTTAAGGAAAAGTGAATACAATTCTATAACTGCTCCCTGTCAACTGAACCAAACCACCATGCCAAATAAGAAAATCTAATAAATAAGATAAAAATGAAGAAACTTTATTTATAGCAGCTCACTCAGATGCTAAATTTAACTTAATAGTAAACAGCAAGAGCCCTGCACTGCAAAACTCTGGCAATCTGGATTCTGACATTTACTTCTCTCTACGTTCACCCCAGGGGCTGTGGTAGGAGTTCCAAGGCAACACTCACACAATGGGCTCACCTCAATATCCAGATGTCTTTATCAGCAAATGCGCAATATAGGTACCATAAAATAGCTGTAAGTACTTCTGAAGTTAACATAATTTTTTAAAGTGCTTCTGCTCTAGTCTCTAACTCAAACAGAAAATTCCAAAAGCCAAGTTTATTTAAAGAAAAACTTTAAAACCATGAACTTTTACTTAAAACGTTAATTAGGAGAGATAAGAAACATCTTTAGAAATATATAATTAATGTCACTCAGTAATGAGACAGAATTAAATTACATCATGTACCTTTTGATATAATTCACTAAGAACACAACATCAATTCTGTGGTATTTCTACCAAAAATCCATAACCTGAATATAATTATATGGATATAACCCTAAACTGAGAACCATTATACAAAAATAACTGGATTGTATTCTTAAAAAAGGTCAAAAGTTTCAGAAAGACAAAGAAAAGCTCAGAGACTGCTCCAGATCAGAGGAAACCTCGGTCTCCTAAGTCACAAAACAAAGAAACATAATACTTGATACTACACTGTAGCCTATTAAAACCAAATTTTTTTTAGTTAAAAGGACAGTACTGAGAAATTTTCAAAACTTGCATAAGAACTGCAGATAATAGCATTGTTTCAATGCTAATTTCCTGACTTTGATAACTGTATTACAGTTATGTTAGAAAAATAGCCTTGTTGGGGTGTCTGAGTGGCTCAGTAGGTTAAGCGTCCAACTTCGGCTCAGGTCATGATCTCACAGTTCATGAGTTCGAGCCCTGTGTTGGGCTCTGTGCTGACAGCACACAAATGCGGTAAATGTTAACATGTGAGGAATTCACTTAAAAGTATATGGAAATTCTTCACAGTATTTTGTCTACTTTTCTGTATGAAATTATTTCGAAACTTTTTTAAAATGTATTAAAAACTATTAAATCAGTCCAAATTATGTCAGGTTTCCAAATGTCTTAAAATGTAGTATTTAGGGGCGCCTGGGTGGCTCATTCGGTCAAGTGTCTGACTTTGGCTCAGGTTATGATCTCGTGGTTCAGGGGTTTCAAGCCCTGCACGGGGCTCTGTGCTGACAGCTAGCTCAGAGCCTGAAGCCTGTTTCAGATTCTTTGTCTCCCTCTCTCTCTGACCCTCCCCTGCTCACACAGTCTCTCTCTCTCCCCTCTCAGAAATAAATAAAACATTAAAAAAAAAATAGTATTTAGCTGGGGTATCTGGATGGTTTAGTCAGTTAAGCATCTGACTCTTGATTTCAGCTCAGGTCATGATCTCACAGTACCTGAGTTCAAGCCTAGAGCCTGCCTGGGACTCTATCTCCCTGTCTTTTTCAAAAATAAATAAATAAACATTAATTTTTTTTTAATAAGGCAGCATTTAGCCATTACATCTTGATCCAAAGGCACCTGGGTGGCTCAGTGAGTTAGGCATCCGACTTCAGCGCAGGTCATCATCTCACAGTTCATGAGTTCGAGGCCTGCGTTGGGCTCTGTGCTGACATCTGAAAGCCTGCAGCCTGCTTTGGATTCTGTGTCTCCCCCTCTCTCTCTCTGCCCCCCTCCCTCCTGCTTGTGCACGCTCTCTCTCTCTTTCCCTCTCTCTCTCAAAAATAAATAAACATTAAAAAAATGTTTTTAAAAGCAAAAGCTTCCCTCCTAGGACATACCAGTCTAAAACGAGAGTAACAAAACACTAGAGCTGCAATGTTATTACCAAAGGACAATTAGCCAAGATGGCAGATTTCATCTTAGATGACAGGGATCACACAAATACATAAATGCCTTGTAAATCACTCCTCCCAAGTGATTATCCCTAAACTCAACTGTCCACTGCACTTTTTTTCAATGAATGGTACTTCTTAAAGAGATGAATTCACAAGCCACACATCTATTACACCTATGCTAAATATCACAGAATATAAAATGAGTAAGACAGTTCTTCTATTCAAGTAATTTACGCTCTAGAGTTTACAAGACCACAAACACACTCTCATTATCACAATAGGCCCTATTTGGCTCACAGCCCAAAATTCTGATCTCTAAGTAACTTTCCCCTCTTCTACCTAAGCTCTCCCCACTGGGCCTTTCCTCAAACTACTGCTCAGAACTTGCTTCCTCTCTCCAGGTCTCCTCTCTCCACAGGAGCTGCATTCAGCAGTCTAGCAGAACATGAAGTTCTGCAAAAACCAAAGAGAAGACAAAGAGAGAAAAACCATTTTTCAAACTACTGCCTTTGGGACAGGCAGGCAGATCTTATGTGACCAACTTGAATCCTCAAGGCATTATTTAAAATTTCCTTTAGAAGAAAGAAAATCCAAAGCATTGGTTTTTGGACTACTTATCTGTGTCTTTGCTTTATTTTGTCCTGGCTAAGATGCTGTCAAGTTCCTTAAGAAAACTACAAACTGGAAAAACACAACTTATATGCAAAACTTGGGAGACAAAATCAGAGACATGTCTAATAGTGCTGGGTAATAAAAATTATTGTGTAGACTGTTATTTTACAGGACTGTCAGTTTCTTTGACTAAGCATAATCACTAATTTCATGCAGCACTTTGGTCTAAACAAGCTTAATTATAGTCAGGCTTTATTAAGTTAGTATCTTAAGTCCTCATTAGAAAATTTGAGAATAGCTGATTTCTTCATAAATTCCTGGAATTTCAGTCTCTCGTTCCTACAGAAAGTGTGGCTCAGCTTTTTTGTTCTAATTAGCCCAAAAGCCCTTTTACCCATAAATAATACTTAGCTGTTCTTTTTTTTTTTAACTTAGTCTATCTTTCATGTTATTCACGTACTTAAACTAATCTTAAATACATAAAAGACAGCTATAAGATTTAAAAAGAGGAAAATATTTAAGAACTCAAATGATCCCAAGTGTCTAAAAACTCAGAGATAATTTTATATAGGATTTTGATACAGTAATGATAGTAATCTTATGTTACAGCCACTGAAAGCTGTATCATAATTCCAAAACCCTATAGCAACAAAATGACTAACAATTAAAACTTCCCCCTCAGTAAATAAAAAAATTTAGTCCTGATCTAGAAAAAGCCAATTAACCTCGAAATTTTTCTTTTTATGCAAATAATAAAAATTTAAAGAGCATAGGAAGAAAATGCTTAATCATGCTGGAATGATCATGCTGGTCTGGAATAAGAAAACATGCTAAATATGAAACTATGGTTGGAGAAATCAAATTATTTCTCAATATAATTTTGTCAGCAAAATCAATCAAAAATAATTGAGGTAATTTAATTATATGACTCAAAATGTGCTTAGTTTTTCAAAATTGAATGGAAGGGGGAAAAATCAGTTTTAAATGGATCAGTAGCCCTCTGCCAGTCCCATCCTGGCCCAAAGAACAAGACGAAATATCAGTATGTAAATCAGTAAAGTTGCCAACAAAAGACACAAATACTCTCAAAACTTACATTAAAAAAATCTTATTGGAGGGGCACCTGGGTGGCTCAGTAGGTTTGAGCACCCAACTTCGGCTCAGGTCATGATCTCACAGTTCGTGAGTGTGAGCCCCACATCAGGCTCTGCTGTCAGCACAGAGCCTTTTTCAGATCCTCTGTCCTGTGCTCTCTCTGCCCATATCCTGCCTGCATGCACATGCACGTTCTCTCTCAAAAATAAACACACATTAAAAGAAAAATTCTTGGGGCAATTGGGTGGCTCAGTCGGTTAAGCGTCCCGACTTCGGCTCAGGTCATGATCTCACAGTTCGTGGGTTCAAGCCCCACATCAGGCTCTGTGCTGACAGCTCAGAGCCCAGAGCCTGCTTCGGATTCTGTGTCTCCCTCTCTCTGACCCTCCCCTGCTCATGCTGTCTCTCCCTCTCTCAGAAATAAATAAAACATTAAAAAAAAAAATTAAAAGACGGGGCGCCTGGGTGGCTTAGTCGGTTTAGCGTCCTACTTTCGCTTAGGTCATGATCTCTCGGTTTTTGGGTTCGAGCCCTTTGTCTGGTTCTGTGCTGACTGCCAGCTCAGAGCCTGGAGCCTGTTTCAGAGTCTGTGACTCCCTTTCTCTCTGACCCTCCCCTGCTCACGCTGTCTCTCTCTCTCTCCTAGAAATAAATAAAACATTTAAAAAAAATTAAAAGAAAAAATCTTATTGGCAAAACTCTAAGATGGAAAAGACAATCAGGAATCTCAGGCCAATGTCTTGGCTTTTGTCATTTTAGTTTCTGTTGGTTCTAATTACACTAGCCTCAGCTTCTGCATCTGGAAAATAAAGTATGTGTATTATGTGTATATAAGTTTTCATTCTTAGAAATTAATTTGTGAAAATGTTTTTCCTGTTTATATCATACCTCATTCCAAGAAGAATCTAAGGCAAAAAACTGTGTGTGTGTGTGTGTGTGTGTGTGTGTGTAACTATGCAATCATAGTAAAAAATAAATCAACCTAAGGGAGATTTTCAATATCAGCCCCACATCATCATCTAAAAAACACAGATGGATGTCAAGTTTCTGAATCTATTATCTGATGTTAAAAGACCTCAAAATCGAATCTAACTGGAGCCACTGGAGAAAACAAACTCGTTTAATAGTGTTCTACCTTGCTATTCAAAAATTAAGAGTGACCTTACCTTGTATGGATCAAGTAAAAAGTCACTAAACTTGCTAGGCAGGGAATATTTCTTCACCAATTCGTCTTCTACCACCCATGGTGCATTTTCACCAGTACCAGCCCGTAATGCATTATGCCGTATAAAGTATCGAAGTATCTCCTTATTTGGTGGGCGTTCTGTACGAATCAAGCTGTCTGCTGGCACATTACTGATGATCTAGGTTAACAAATATAAATAACTTACCACAGGGGGAAAAAGCAATTAACCACTGAAACAAAGATTTATATTCTCTCCAGAAAAATCATAATTCCCTCTATAAAAAAGGGCTATAAACTAGATGAAAGAAAAATAATTTTCAGAGACAGAATATTAATTAAACATATCCCTAGGCAATTTATCTGTATGGATCAAAGTCCCAAAAATGTGCATACCCACTGAATCAGCAATTCCTCTCTTTAAGAATTTAGAAGTAAATGGACAGTCATCAACTGCTAATAAAAGGATAAAAAAACAGAAGGGAAAACTACATAAAGGTACATCAGTAAGGAATTCATTTTTTAAATTAAAACATATCCATATAATAAGTGAATGCAACCACTGCATGCATATAGTATATATATGCATATAATTATGTTTAATATATTACAGATAATATACACATCCATAGGGGGGAAATGTTTCTCAATCAGGACAAATTTATCAGAATCATCTAAGGTGCAGATTCTTGGCCCCCAAACTTACTGAATGAGAAGAATCTCTGGCAGTAGAGCCCAGGAATCTACATTTTTTAATAAAATCCCCTGATGACTATCATGTACACTACAACCTGAAAATACTGTTCTGGAAAAAAATTTAATGACACCACAGATTTTACCATATAGTAAATGAAAAAAGCAAGTTACAAAATAGTATGTGTAGAATACTCCTTTTTTTTTTTCTCTAAAGATTTTATTTTTAAGTAATCTCTACATCCAACATGGGGCTCAAACTCATAACCCCAAGATCAAGATTCACATGCTCTACCAACTGAGCCAGCCAGGTGCCCCTACTCCTATTTTCAAAAGTCACTTACAAGTCAGGGCATCTGGGTAATTCAGGTCCTGATCCCAGGGTTATGGGATGGAGTTCCATGTTGGGCTCCATGCTGAACATGGAGGCTGCTTAAGATTCTCTTTCTCTCTCCCTCTGCCCCTCGCCCCTACTCGCACATTCTCTCTAAAGAAACAAACAGGCTAACCACCACTAACCACATCTATATTCACCAATTATCATCTCTGAGCACAGGATTAGAAATATCTTTTATCCTTATTTGTATATTCTATCTTTCTCTGTTTACTATATGTAAACAAAGCAATTTACAGTCACACTCATCAGTAAGAATACAAATGATAATCCAAGAAGTGGATGAGACTCCCTAGTAATAATATTTTAACTAGCTACCCTGCTGAAGGTGAAGAAATTTAGTGAAAACTGTATTTAACATCCAATTTTCAAATATAAAGAAATCCTAACAATCTAGCCATGTCTTCACATGAACTATAAAACAAATGGAGTCAAAATGCTGGGGGCCCCCAGGTGACTCAGTCGGAGAGCATGCAACTCTTGATCTCAGGGTTGTAAGTTCGAGCCCCACACTGGGTGTAGAAATTACCCAAAAATTAAAATTTTTTAAAAAAGAGTCAAAATAGAGTAAGACTCGTCAACTTTTTGAGGTGGGAAAAAACCCAACACTCTGAAGTGGCAAAAGAACTGGGTTATAATCCTTCCCACACTCATTTACTAAATTAGGAACTTTGACAGAATTCTTCAACTTCTCGGGCCTTATACAGTTGAACAGGAAGATAAATGTGCAGTTGCCTTCCATACCCAGCAGCCCATCTTATCTCTTTCTAAGTACAAGATTTTATATATACAGGTAAAGGAGTACCTGAAACTACTATGCCATATTCCATGGACTCTAAGATGCTATTAATGAGAAAACACTGTGTTTTATATGGCACTAAGGAAAAAATTGTTGCCAATTCACTTTAAACTATGTCCTGGCTCTGGACATATTAAAAAAAACACAAACCTTAGAACAATAAAACTTGGCACTAAGTTATTTTAAGGGTATTTACTTTTTTAGATTATTAGCTTTCTGAGTTTATTAGAAATTGCTTTATTTTTAACTGGAAAGAGCGATTTCTTGGGAATAGCTGGGAACCGATTCTTATTTTTCAAACTAAGTTTGAAGCTCAAATGCAAATTATTCTTAGACCCTAATAATTCCTATTAAAAGAAAACAGTATGCGGGGCGCCTGGGTGGCTTAGTCGGTTAAGCGTCTGACTTTCGCTTAGGTCATGATCTCACGGTTCGTGGGTTCGAGCCCCGCGTCGGGCTCTGTGCTGACTGCCACCTCAGAGCCTGGAGCTTGTTTCAGTCTGTGACTCCCTCTCTCTCTGACCCTCCCCTGCTCACGCTGTCTCTCTCTCTCCTAGAAATAAATAAAAATATTTAAAAAAAAAAAAAGAAAAGAAAACAGTATGCTATCTCCTAGGGGAAAAAAGTACAATTTAACTTAAGGTCATAATCACAAAGACTACAAAAGCCTAGAATTTATTGTAGAAACACATTTATTCACATTTTTCTGTTGCACATTTTCTCTGAGAAAACTGGCCTTATATTTTCTGAAATAGCATTTTCTACATGTAAGAGGTTTAATATAAAGTGCCAACTAACCTTATCTTCATTTTGTAATTTCACATCATATTTGTGAGGCAGAAATTTTGGTGGAGCCCATTTCCTTTCTCCTTTTTTTAATGAAGTAGGGAGTTTTCGTGGAGATCTACGTGCTCTGTCATCTAGTCAAATCAATAGAAAATTAGTGAAAAAAGTAAGTCTTTAATTTTATCCATTCACTTATTAATAATCTTATTTAACACCTACTCTGCACCAGGTACTGAGTGAAGGGACACAAAGATGAATCATAAAGTCCTTACCTCAAGCAGATCAAATCTGTGAGAGTCTACAAAACTTATAATACAATGTAGTAAAATTCTGTAACAGAGATTGGTACAAAAAAATACTATGAGAGCACAGAGAAGCAATGTCTTACTTGGTGTGGAAGACAGGCAAAGGAGAGGGAAGACTACAATTTGTTCAGAGACTACAAGCAGTAAAATGAGTATGATTTACGTTACAGTAAAAACATCAGACTAAAGAGATAAATAGGGGACAAATTATAAATCACATTGTATGCCTTTTAAAACAATTTTTTAAATGTTTACTTTTGAGAGAGAGGGAAAGTACGAGCAGGGGAGGGACAGAGAAAGAGGGAGACAGAGGATCTGTAGCAGGTTCTGCACTGACAGCAGAGAGCCCAGTATGGGGCCCAAACTCATAAACTGTGAGATCATGACCTGAACCAAAGATGAACAACTTAACTAACTGAGCCACCCAGGCACCTCCATTTATTATTTTTGTTAAGTAAGCTCCATGTCCAGTGTCCATTGTGGGGCGTGAACTCACGACCCTAAGATGAGGAGTCACATGCTCTACCGACTGAGCCAGCCAGGTGCCCTAACACTGTATACCATTTAAAGACTGGAATTGGTCTCATGGGCACTAGGGAAAGAAAGGATTTCTCATCTAACTAATTAGATATACTTGGTGAAAGGTCACTAGTCTGAAAAAACTGAGAAAGAAAATAACACTTTCGGCAGTTAGAAAACGAGTAAAACGCCAGGTAAGACTGAAGATCACAAGATACAATACTAAACATCTGAATTAATGTAACTGGAATGGAGACTAAAAGAGTCAAGAGGTATTTAGAAGACAAGACTTGGTAACTACCTAGATGTGGAAATGCTAATGGTTTCCAAGTTTGCTGCCTTAGGGATAGGGAGATGGTGTCATTAACTAAGTAAGAGAATGCTGGAAGACTAGCAGTATTCTTGTTGACATCCCTTGGAAAGACAACATAAGGAGTAAGATGATCAATTTAGTTTTACAGGTGTTAAATTTGAACTGCTTAGGACAGGCATGTGAAGACTAGGTCTGAAGTAAGGAGTTAATCTGATGTGGGCCTGGGAATCATCAGCCTTGATACAGGTAAGAATTTAAACTGTGGTCAGAAACGAAATGTAACAGTACCACTTCTGCAGAAAAGTAAAAAGGCAGCAGAGGTGCCTGGGTGGCTCAGTAGGTCAAGTGACCGACTCTTATTTTCGGCTCAGGTCACAATCTCACAGTTGGTGAGTTCGAACCCCACATCGGGCTCCTCACTGATAGTGCAGAGACCGCTTGGGATTCTCTCCCACTCTCTGTCCCTTTCCCAATCACATGTATATACTCTCTCTCTCAAAATAAATAAATAAACTTAAGATTTTTAGAAGGCAGCAGGCAGTTCTTCCCGTGCACAAGCCCTGTCCCCGTGCTTTAATAAAATCACCTTTTTGCACCAAAAAAAAAACAAAAAGGGGGGGAAGGGGGGAGCAGCAGGAAATCCTATGAAAAATACTTTAATGAAAAAAGGAGGTTTTAAAAAAAAAAGTAGGGGTGTCTAGCTGGTTCAGTTGGAAGAGTATGTGACTCTTGATCTCAGGGTCATGAGTTCAAGTCCCATATTGGGTGCAGAAATTACTAAAAACAAACAACAGAAAAGTAGCTGGGAAAACTAAGAGACTATGGTACTAAATAAGCTGAAAGACATGAGAGTGACCAACAGTGGTAAATGGAACAGAAAAGTAAAAAAAAAAAACAAAGAAAAAAATGAGTGAATTTTGCATTAGGGGGTCACCTATAATCTTATTAGGAACAGTTTTAGGAATAAAGAGGCAAAAGTCACACTATAACAGTGTATGGAATAAAGTGATGGTCAGAAAGCAGAGACAATATTCTCAAGAATCTTACCCTGAATGAATAAGACAAATAGAACAACAGGATCAAGGGAGAATAGTTTTTGTTTTCAGAAAACAGGCCTTTATTTATAAGAACCATTAGAAAGAGGGTTTAAAACACTCCATAGTAAAGTAATAGACGTTTACTCATTCCTTGAAAAACTATGAGGGAATGGAATTCAAAGCACAAGTATCTTGGCCAATTGGAAAGACCACTCCCTTGTAAGATCGAAGAAGAATACAGAAATTCCTACCAGAGAGGTTAGGAAGACAAACCTGGAAAGTTCCTGCCCTAACACATTATTTTCCCCCTAACAAAGTAGAAGGCAAGGTCACATGAGGATAAGATATTTTTTTATACTGGAATTTGCCTATCATATTTTATGGAAATTCTAATCAATTTTTCCCCTGAAGACACTCAGCGTACATCCTAACATTAATTCTTTAGCTCACCTACTACTCTTAACAATATACTAGGAATAACATTATATCCCTAATTTAAACCTGAACTAAGGTGCACACTCTAAAAAATAAGCCAAAGCCTAAAACCAGCAGTTCTTGGTTCACGATGCTTAAGGTGTAAAACTAACAACTATAACACATAATTGGTATGCCAACGATCCGATTCTAGAAAAAAAGAAGTGTTAGAAGATGCATCAGCCAACACTTAACCAAAATACTTATTCCTCTCAAATTTCAGGAACTGTAATAACACACATATTATAAACCTCCAGTAGCAAAAAGGAGAAAAACTGAAAAACAGACATTAGCGTTCATAGTACACAGTGAAAAACAAAACTGAAATATCAACAACCCAGAGCTGGGGGGCAGCTATACAATTCTCCGAAGCTGCCTTGGGACTAGGTAAGGACATCCCTCTAAAACCATCTGCACATATCCAAAACATCAGGAGACACAAAATAGAGGGCACATGGCAGAATATTCTAATTCAACATTCTAACTCAAACTTTGTGAGTTTATAAATAAATATGTTATATAAAATCACTGGATCCTCTAACAGTCACAGGGAGGGGGATCAGTACACACAAACCCTCTGAGTAATCCTATTTTTGGGGAAAGAAGGGATCCAAATTCCTTATTTACACAAATTTAAAAAAAAAAAAAAAAAAAAAGGGCCTCAGAGGCTAAAAATAAAAAGTCTCCCCAGTGAGGAAAGTTTGTTTTTCAACTTTCAAAACATCACTGTTAAGGTCTCTAGGCCCCAAAAATTTACTTTTAGAGTTTCACAATTCTGGCAGTTCCCATCTGAGATGGACCTGAATTTATACAGATAAAATGAAATCTCTTAAAAGCACCACATTGGCTTGTAAAATGAGGGAAAAAAAGTAGAGTGGGGCACCTGAGTGGCTCAGCTGGTTAAGTGTCTGACTCCAGCTCAGGTCATGATCTCATAGTTCAAGAGTTTGAGCCCGTCAGGCTCTGCACTGACAGCTCAGTGCTTCGGACTGTGTATCTCCCTCCCTCTCTCTCCTTCTCCCCTGCTTGTGCACAAGCATGTGCTCGCTCTCTCTCTCTCAAAAATAAACCAACATACATTTAAGAAGAAAAAGAGAGAGAGAGAGAATGAGAGAAAGGAAAGAGAGAAAGAAAAAAGAAAGAGAGAAAGAAAGAGAAAGATTTGAATTAGTCTCTCCTATTCTAATCACCCCACTTCCACACATCTTTACAGATGTCCAACTTGGAGAAAAGGAAAGCAAACTTTCCCATCCTGAGTAGGCAGACATGTGCATAAAGATTTCTAAGCAGCCAAAAGTAATGATTTTGCCCTGGTCTTAACTGTGTGGGGAGATTGAAATCTTGATTCCCTTAGTGGGTATTTTAATTGTTTTCTGAATCATAAATGAACAAAAAACATGTCTAGCTGTCTACAAAACTTAATTACAAATTTAACTGCTAGAGAACTCAAAAGATTTGTGTAGGATAAAATAAACAGAATAGCGTAACTCACTAAGGAAATCTAGCATCATACATACTAATACTCTCTCTCCTTCCTTCATCCTCTTTTATAACTGACTCCTTCTTCTGATGATCCTGAGCAATTTGGCTAGAATTCTCTTTGTCACTTGAGGGAGAATCACAGGCACCATCCGATTTCTTCTCATTGGCTTCTTCATCCACTTTCTCCAAAGGATGAATTTTCACAATCCTCACCTTGAGCATTTTTTCCTTCCCGACCTATAAAGGAGATAAGGGAGAAGCAAAGATAATAAAGAATAAACAGAAACCCAAAGATGTTTAGAATATATTATCTATAATATGTATATTATAGATAATACATATCTATAATATATAACATATAATATACATCCCACTTCATCTGACAAAAAAATTCACTGAAAAAGTAGCCAAGTTGTGATTTTTTTCCAACTTTGTTTCTCAGACTTCTAAACAGAAATTGGATACCTCTAAAAAATAAAATGATCACAATCTAGTTCATATTTCATGTACCAAGGTACTAAGTCTAAAAAGTCATCACTACACTAATCTGACATAAATGTGTAAATACAGTTCAAGAGTTTTCATTTTGGGGGGAGCCTGCATGGCTCAGTTGGTTAAGCGCCGGACTTCAGCTCAGGTCGTGATCTCAGTTTGTGAGTTCAAGCCCGTACATCAGGCTCTGTGCTGACAACTCGGGAGTCTGGAGCCTGCTGTTGTCTCCTTCCCTCTCTGTCCCTCCCCCATTTGTGCTGTCTCTCTCTCTCAAAATGAATAAATAGTAAGTAAGTAAATAAATAAATAGAATTTCCATTAAAAAGAAAATCAAAAAAATAAATAAAGAAAAAGAAAAAGAAAAAGAAAATCAACTATGTAGGGGCACCTGGCTAGCTCAGTCAGAAGAGGATGCAGCTCTTGATCCCAGGGTTCTAAGTTCAAGCTCCACGTTGGGTGTAGAGATTACTTATCAGGTCATGACCTCACAGTTTGTGGGTTCGAGCCCCATCTCAGGCTCTGTGCTGACAGCTCAGAGCTTGGAGCCTGCTTCAGATTGTGAGTCTCCCTCTCTCTCTGCTCCTCCTCTGCTCATGCTCTGGCTCTCTCTCTCCCCCAAAAGTAAATAAAAACATTTTAAAAATTAAAAATAAAGTCTTTAATAAATAAATAACTACAGATATAGATATCCAATTATTTTAGAATTACCTATTGAAAAGACTATCTTGGGGCGCCTGGGTGGCTTAGTCGGTTAAGCGTCCGACTTTCGCTTAGGTCATGATCTCACGGTTCGTGGGTTCGAGCCCCGCGTCAGGCTCTGTGCTGACTGCCAGCTCAGAGCCTGGAGCCTGTTTCAGTCTGTGACTCCCTCTCTCTCTGACCCTCCCCTGCTCACGCTGTCTCTCTCTCTCTCCTAGAAATAAATAAAAAATATTTAAAAAAAAAAAAAGAAAAGACTATCTTTTCTTCACTTAATCATCTTCCTAACTATCAGAAATCAGTAGTGTGTATACATATGGATGGAGGTATAGGAGTCTATTTCTGAATGCTACTGTGTTCCACTTAATCTGTTAATTAGTCTATCTTCACAATTTCACACCACTTTAATAAGTGAAAATAAGACTCAAAATCAGATAATATTGTACCTCTAACTTGACTGTTCTTTGTCAAAGTTCTTTTGGCTAGGTTCTTTGCATTGTCACATGAATTTTACAATCAGCTTGACAGTTCCTATAAAAAAAGCTGCTGGGATTTTTTAAAATTGTTTTTTGAGTATGGCTGAAAAGCTGCTGGAATTGGGGCGCCTGGGTGGCTTAGTCTGTTAAGCGTCTGACTTTTCGCTTAGGTCATGATCTCGCAGTTCGTGGGTTTGAGCCCCGCGTCGGGCTCTGTGCTGACTGCCAGTTCAGAGCCTGGAGCCTGTTTCAGAGTCTGTGTCTCCCTCTCTCTCTGACCCTCCCCTGCTCACGCTGTCTCTCTCTCTCTCCTAGAAATAAATAAAAATATTTTTTGAAGAAAGAAAAAAAAAAAGAAAAGCTGCTGGAATTATATTGCAACTGTGGTAAATCTAACATCAATTTGGGAAGAAGTGACATTTTAATACTGAGTTTTCTGACCCATGAACAAAGTATCTCTCTCCATTATTTAAGGTCTTCTTTAATTTTTCTCAGAAACACTTTATAATTTTTAGTGTATAGGTCTTGTATACCTCTTGTCAGATTTACTCCCAGAGCACTTATTTCTGATGTCACCACAAATGGTACTGATCTTTCTAAAGGTTCAATATCCAACTGCATGTTGCTAACATTGGTTTTCATATTATTACCCTATATCCTGCTACCCTTCTAAACTCACTTATTAGTTCTAGTAGGTTTTATGGGAGATTCCAGATTTTCTACATGGACAATCATGTTGTCCACACATAAAGATAACTGTACTTCTTCTTTTACAATTTAGATGCCCTTTATTTCTTTTTCTTGACATACAACTAGAGCTTCAAATACAATGGTTTTTCTTTTTTTTTTTTTCACTTCTTTAATGTTTTATTTATTTTTGAGAGAGAGAGAGAGAGAGAGAGAGAGACAGTGTGAGCAGGGAGGGTCAGAGAAAGACAAATATAGGACTTCACTCATATGAGGAATTTAAGATACAGATAAACATAAGGGAAGGGAAGCAAAAATAATACAAAAACAGGGAGGGGGACAAAACATAAAAGACTCAAATACAGAGAACAAACAGGGTTGCTGGAGGGGTTGTGGGAGGGGGTGGGCTAAATGGGTAAGGGGCATTAAGGAATCTGCTCTTGAAATCGTTGCACTCTATGTTAACTAACTTGGAAGTAAATTTAAAAATAAATTTTAAAAAAGAATTATACATTAAGAACAATTTTGCATTTGTAGGATTAACTCCACTGGGTAATGATGAATTTGCTAAAATTTTGATTAGAAAATTTTCCATCCATGGGCGCCTGGGTGTCTCAAGTCAGTTCAGCTTCCAACTCTTCATTCTGGCTCAGGTCATGATCTCAGGGTGGTGTGATCGAGGCCCAAGTTGGGTTCTGTGCTGAGCGTGGAACTTGCTTAGGATTCTCTTTCTCTCCCCTCCAACCCCCTCCCCCTGCCTTCTGCCCCTTTCCCCTGCTTGCGCCAATAACACATAAAGATGGGAGTGGGAGAGGATATCCGATTCTAAGTAAAGCAAGCTTCAACTATAACACAATTTTGCACACAGAAATGGATTCTATAATCTATCCTGGAAGCTCTAATCCTGACATATGGTTACAGAATCAAACTATATCAGAAAAAAAAAAAGAGGGGGGTGCTTACCTCAAAATCACACTCTTCTCCCACAGCGTATTTGGTCATGATCTCCAACCAAGCAGTATCTACTAACTTCTCTAAAGAGGCTGTGTTATGGTGAACCATTTCCAGAACAAGTTTCTCGTACCAGGCAGGGAACTCCTCCTTCAAACTAAACACATTATTAGTTATGAAGAAAATGCAGGAAAACCTACTTAGAGAAGTAATTCAAGTTAATTCAAACATTTCCTTAGCAAATGTACGTGAGGCACCGGGAAATACAAAGATTGAAGCCCATGTGGCACACAGGACATAGAGGGGGCTGCTAAAGAGCTCTGTCAGACAGACCTGCCTGGGTTAATTTTCTCATCTGGAAAGTAAGAGTAATTGGGACATCATCAGTGAGGCTGAATATTTTCCCATTTGTTTTATTAGCAGATTTCCCTTTCCAGGTACGAATTATTTATTCATACCCTTGGTACATTTTTTGTTAGAAGACCAAAACTTGAGTCTATCTGTTTTATGTCTTCATCAAGAAAATGTTTCCCTATGCATTCATTCAGTTAATACCCACAATATCTCGGGAGGGGTCTAGAATTTTCATTTTGAGTAAGGAAAATAAATCATGAAGGATTGAAACCATGACTTGAACTCTAAAGCTCTTGCAAAAGTAAAACAATGAAGTACTACTTTCTACTTCATAAACTCATGAACATGTATAAGCAAGGAAAGAGTGCAATGTGCATTCATGCACAGCTGACAGCCTAGGTTTCAACTCTTTTGAAAGGCAGTTTGACAACAATTATCCAGTGTCACATGTATACAAATATATTCACTGCTCAGTTCTTCATGATGGCAGAAAATGGGAAGCAACCTAAATGGAAACTCATTAAGATCTCCAAATCTGGCCAGATCGGTTACCATTAGTGCTGCAGGGCAAAGGTGAGGACCAGGAATGAGAACATTCATACACATCCAACTATTAGGTTATCATCACATTCCTAGTCACTCTCTGTTCATAACTAAAAATCTTCCTCCAACTGACTGCTAGACTTAAAATCTCTTACCATACTGCCTTAAAATTTACCTGAGTTATATCTGCTATTCCCCAGTCCCAATCAATAAGCTTCTAGTCTCCCTGCCTTTGCTAAAGCTGTTACCTTTGTCCTCTCCTCACCATCCTCCCTTCCAGCTTAACCATCCTCCAGATATGTCCTCAGACTTACCTAACTCCATGAGGCCTTTCTTGGCCCCTATAAATGCTCGCTCTCCATTAAGCCTCCCAGTCACCAGGCTTTTTAAAAAAAATTTTTTTTAATGTTTTATTTGTTTCTGAGAGAGAGGGGCGGGCAGTGTGAGCAGGGAAGGGTCAGAGAAAGAGAGGGAGATACAGAATCCAAAGCAGGCTCCAGGCTCTGAGCTACCTGTCAGCACAGTGCCCAACGTGGGGCTCGAACCCAACCAGGCTTTTTAAAATTTCATTGTCAGGGCACTTGGGTGGCTCAGTCCGTTAAGCATTCGACTTCGGCTCAGGTCACAATCTCACCATTCATGGGTTCGGGCCCTGCATCAGGCTCTGTGCAGACAGCCAGCTCAGAGCCTGGAGTCTGCCTCGGATTCTGTGTCTCCCCCTCTCACTGACCCTCCCCTGCTCATGCTGTCTCTCTCTCAGAAATAAATAAAAAAACATTAAAAACAATTTAAAACTTCACTGTCCACAGCTACTTCTGGGGAGTGAGGATGGACGATGATATTCAAATTCTTTTACTCTGTATTGTTTACATTCTTATAACGAGTACGCATTACTTTTATAAACAACAACAACAAAAAAAGATTTCTGCCTTGAATAAAAATTGTAAAACCATACTTTTTCAGTTCACTATCAAATCACGTAAAACATTCCCCGATCTGTGTTCCTCAGAACTTCACTCTGACGTAATGGTTTATAAGGTCAAATAAGTTTGAGATCCACAGGGTTAAACCAAGCTACAGTTTCTTTACTGGAGGTCTTCTGAAAATCTTTTAACAAGCTAAGTACTATGACTTTCCAAGAAAATCTGTAGCGGTTTTCAGAAGTTATGGCCCAAAACCCTCTTTTCAGGAAGGATTACAGAATCCAACTCATTATTTCTATTCCCAGTAATGAACGCCATGACTCTCTACCTGAATACTATCCTGGCAAGCCCACATCAACTTCCCACCTGCTTTTCCTTCTCGAACTCCTACACAGTTCCTAGATTAATCTCAAAGCCTAAACACCAATCACCAAAACCATCCCATGTTTCTCTCCTGTTCAAAAATTATTGCTGTCCATTGTTCACAGAATTAAATACGAGTAGCTCATCTCACCTTCTATAATCTGGTAGAAAATAACCTTCAAGTATTACCTTCCTCATGAAGCCACATGAAGTTTTCCCTAACAATTCCAGGTTAGTCCCTACTCTTTAAACTCTCACTGCCGCTCTATGTGGAGGAAAGCAACTTATTTGCATTTTGAAATTAAATTCCCTTATTACTCCTAACAGTTTTTCACTGGACTCTCTTTGGGTTTTCTGGCATATAATCATATTACAAGTAACAATAACTGATTTCCTCTTCAGTACTCTTCATACTTCGTTGTAGGTTAATGGTTACTATCTTTTATTTACATAGAATTTACACACACATAACTTCTTGTCCCAAAAAGACACCCAGGGGTGCCTGGGTGGCTCAGTTGGTTAAGCATCCAACTTTGGCTCAGGTCATGATCTCACGGTTCATGGGCTTGAGCCCCGTGACATGAGCTTAAGCTCTGTGCTGACAGCTAGCTCAAAGCCTGGAACCTGCTCCTGATTCTGTGTCTCCCTCTCTCTCTGACCCTCCCCAGCTCATGCTGCCTCTCCCTCTCTCCCTCTCAGAAATAAATTTTAAAAAAAATTAAAAAAAAAAAAAAAAAAAAAACACGACACCCAGAGAAGCAACATTATATTTGGAAAGAGCAAACAGTAAGTGCTTATATAGTACAGAAGACAGTGCCTCAGCACTGTAGTCAATTCAAGTCAAATATGAGACCTGCCCTCAAGAAGTCCACAAGGTACAGGGCACCTAGGTGACAGTTAAGTGTCTGACTTAGGCTCAAGTCATTATTTCATGGTTCATTGAGTTCGAGCCCTGAGTTGGGCTCTGTGCTGACAGCTCAGAGCCTGGAGCCTGCTTCAGATTCTGTGTCTCCCTCTCTCTCTGCCTCTCCCCTGCTTGCTCCTTCCCCTCTCTCTCTCTCTCTCTCTTAAATATATATATTTTTTAAAAAAAAAAAAAGTCCACAAGCTAAGAAGGGGAAAAAATACTTTCAAACAGAGATGGAGACAAACCATAAGACACTCTTAAATACAGAGAACAAACTGAGGGTTGATGGGAGGATGCAGAGGAGGGTAAAATGGGTAATGGGCACTGAGGAGGGCACTTGTGGGATGAGCACCAGATGTTGTAAGTGATGAATCATGAGAATCTACTCCCAAAGCCAAGAGCACACTGTATACACTGTATATTGGCTAGCCTGACAATAAATCATGTTTTTAAAAAATAAGTAAATAAAAAATAAAAAGAATAATTTTTTTAAAAAGTTCACAAGGGGTCATCAACAGCCCAAGGGCCAAATTCAGCCTACCACCAGTTTTTGTAAATGAAATTTTCTTTTATTTACAGCCATTCATATTCATTTACATTTTACCTATAGCTGTTTTCACTGTACAATGCCACAGATGAACAGCTGAGACACAGACCCTAAAATATTTACTAACTGGCACTTTACAGAAAAGACTGGACAGCTCCTGGTCTAGTACACTAAACAACACCCATAAGTAATTAACACTAATCCAGGGATGCCTGGGTGGCTCAGTTAAGCATCCGACTTTGGGTCAGGTCATGATCTCACCATTTGTGGGTTCAAACCCCACACTGGGCTCTGTACTGACAGCTCAGAGACTGAAGCCTGCTTTGGATTCTGTGTCTCTCTTTTTTTTTTTCTCTCTCTCTGCCCACCCCTCCCCCAAGCTCCGGGGAGGGGCAGAAAGCGAGCCACTCATGCAACCAGCTGAGCCACTCAGGCACCCCAAACTGTGTATTTCTTTTTGATAGCTACTGTAAAGACAGTCTAACATTTCAAATGACCACAAAATAAAGAAAATTTCTAATTTGCTGCCCCTGTATTACTTCCAGATTGTATCAGCTTCCTTTGCTTAGAACATTTCCAGAATATTTACAAGGTAAAAGATAGAGCAAGAACACTCAAAAGCCCAGTAATATCTAAATAAGTATACACACAACTATATATTCCACATACTTTGTTACCAGCAAAATGCCACTAGGCACAGGCATTCAGACACCAATCTATTGTACTAATATATTCCAATGTATGCCCTTAAATTTAAATATAAATACTGCTTTACTATTAATATTCCCCCTTTCCCAATAATGTGAAAATGGTGCCAGAAGGGCAATGCTTCTACTACTTACAGTTCAGCAACTTCCTGTTCCTCCTCCCAGGCCTCCTTGTGTGTTAGCTGACTGCTTCCAGTACTCTTACAGGTCCAAATGCGCTCACTGTACCTTTCCAAGCGGGCCTCGTACTCTCTGTTAAAAGTGGCTCAGGAAAACAATATTCAAGCAATAGAGAAAACTTATCCATATCCACAAATTACTTATACCAAAAAAAAAAGTCTATGTATAGCATCCTTTCTATATTCTACAGCATAAAAACATAAAATTGAAATCAGAGTTTTCAAGTGGCAAATCCAAACAAAATTCTTAAAGCCAAAGTATGAGTCAAATGGTCTGTCATGTTTTTGTTTTACAAATAAAATACTATTTTAGTACAAATGTGATTTATTCAATTCACCTGTTTCTTTTTTTTTTTTTTTATTGTTTGTTTATTTTTGAGAGACAGAGCACGAGCAGGGAAGGGGCACAGAAAAAGGGAGACACAGAGTCCGAAACAGGCTCTCGGCTCTGAACATTCAGCACAGAGCCCGATGTGGGGCTCCAACTCATGAACCAAACCATGAGATCATGACCTGAGCCAAGTCGGACACTCAACCGACTGAGTCACCCAGGTGCCCCTCAATTCACCTGTTTCATTTCAGTAAGACTCTCCCAGTGTTAAAAATTTGTAAGACAAAATAAAGGTAAATTAAACACAAACCATAAGGAATAAGAATGTAAGGTATATGGAATTGTTACCTAACGCAGATGGTCAGCAAGTTTAAGAGTCTTCCACAAAGAGGAGGACTACCCCAGTCTCACAGGCAATTTGAAAAGCCCTGTGCATAAGCTAATGATCCACTTACTATAAACCTTCCAGCCTACTTTGGAAACACTTGTTGAGTTTAAAAAATAAATTCCATAAAACTCTAAAAATGATTTCGATATCCTATTTATCCAGCCTTCATGCTGTCTCCAATAACACTACACTCACGACTCATTTGCCAGACATTATTCGGTCTTTGTAATTGTAAGGCCATTGGAGGAAGAAAACATCCTCTAAGTTACTGCCATATAAATGGTAACTTTCCACATCATCCCAACTGTAATTCACTATCAGCCAGACACATTCGAATTCAAATGACGTTAACTAATTTATTTTATGCACAGCAACAGATGCTACCCAAGAAAATAAACTGACACAACTAGAGAATTAGCTGCCAATCTCTGTATTTTCCAAGTGACACTTTTTATAGTTGCTGAAATAAAAGTCTTTAAGCCACTCCCTCTGTAATACTACCTCACAACTCAACAAGTAATTCATTTTAAATATATAGAGATTCCTTTAAATCAGTGCAAAGATAGATGACAGGGACAAATCCATAGATGATCCAAAATAGTACTTTTATAGCCAATAGCATAAGCATCTTTGCCTTCTGTAGAATTCTCTGGATCTGCCAAAAACAGAACAGTTTAAGTCTATTTTCCTCACCAGAAGGGTGGTACTAATATTTAAATGATTAAACAAAATATAGTACCAGTAAAACCCAGGAGTCAAGCTTCCATATAAAGCTCCATAAATTCAATCTCACCGAAAATTTATAAAAATTTATAGAGAGAAAAGGAAATAGCATGGCTTCCAAAGTGACGTTATCATAACTAATCAATAAGATAAATTATTCTGCTTCTGTCAGTTTGCACAGGGGGCGGGGATGAATCATGACAGAAAGAAGCAGGGGCGCCAGAATGACTCAGTCGGTTAAGCGTCCCACTCTTGATTTCAGCTCTCACAGTTGGTGAGTTTGAGCCCCGTATCAGGTTCTATACTGACTGCGGAGCCTGCTTGGGATTCTGTCTCCCTCTCTCTCTGCCCCTCTGTTTGCTCTCTCTCTCTCTCTCTCAAAATATATAAAAATAACCTTAAAAAAAAAAAAACCAGTAAGTGTATTTATTTAAACATTCAAAATGCTTGATAACACTCTAACACATTATTTAGCTATACTGAAGAAATTCACTGTGTAATCATCAGAGAGAATGTGAGATAAAACCACCAAATCTTAAAGAATATTAAATTTCTGTTAGTAGCTGTTAATTTTAAAAGGAGGAATCATGTGCCCAGTGAGTCTCTGATCTAGACCTATGTAGCCAACAGACGCGTATCGCCTAGATGCCTCAAATCCAACTTTTTCTAAACTGAACTCTAATTACCCCTTCCCTCCCCTCCTAAATTTGCTCCTTAACAGTTATTCCCAATCTCGCTGAATGGCCCTAGTGTCCAAGTCAGAAATCCGGGAATCATACTCAGCTCTTCAGTCCCTAATTGCAACCACTTAGTTTTTCTCATTCAGTCCATCCTCTTCCATAACAGAACCATTATTTAAATTCAGCCTCTGATCCTCCCTTCCCACCTAGCCATAACAGTTTTAAACATTTTAATTGACCTCCCCGGTAATCCTCCTCAGGTCCTTTGTGCTTCTCGTCCAAACATCCTTTTACTCAATCTTATTTGTTTTTAAACCCACTTCAACTGCTTACTTTAAAATCTCATTTGCCCTCAGGCCCCTGAAATGCAAATACTTCACACTGGGAAGTAATCCTCAGGCTCCCACAGTATTGAAAAATCACTCCACTGATCAAGATTTTGTTCAGCTTTACTTTCGTGATTTTTTTTTAAATTTTTTTAAGTTTATTTATTTTTGAGAAAGAAAGCAGAAAGAGAGCAGGGGAGGGCAGAGAGAAGAGACACAGAATCAGAAGCAGGCTCCAGGCTCCGAGCTATCAGCACAGAGCCAGAGGAGAGCCTCAAACACACGAACGGAACCATGAGATCATGACCAGAACCAAAGTTGGAAGCTTAATCGACTGAGCCACCCAGGTATCTCTATTCTTTTAAGAAGAAAAAAGTGGTAAACTTTTTTCTCAAATAATACACATTTAAATATTAAATATTTTTTTGCTGATTATAGTTTTCCAAACAAAGAAGTGCCTTCTACTTAGATACGTGGCTTTCCCACCATCCTTTGAAAATCACTATCAATACAACATTCTCATTTGGGGTGACAGTATCCATTTCCATAACTTCAATTACTATCTATATGCTAATAATTTCTATTACCAACTCAGTCTCCTCTCTGAATCCAGGCCCATAAGCAGTAGCAAAATAGACACTTCCAACTGGATAGCCACAGCAACTCAATATATTAACACCCAAACTCAACTTCCTGCCTTCATTACCCATTCCCAGTCAAAACAAAAAGAAACACCAGATCCTCCTCCAGGGTTCTCTATTATCAGAGAATAACTCACTAGTGACAGCCAAAATTCGATCCTTGATTCCTCCCCAAACAATCACCAAATCCTGTCAAATCTACAGAATTTATTTGTCATCTATTGTACTTCTCAAGGGCAATACATTTGTTCAGACCACCATTACCTATTGCCTTGTTTATTTAATAACTGCCTCGCGAGTCTCAAGGCTGCAGAGTCTCAACACTACAGCCACAGTGAGCTTTCAATCTAAAAGCCTGCTTCCATCCTGCTTAATTTTTTTCCAAAGTGTATTTAAAGAGAGAGGAGAAAGAGGAAGGGGGCAGAGAGAGAGAGAGACTACCAAGCAGTGCTGAGCATGTGGGACTTGATCCAACAAATCATGACCTGAGCTGAAATCAAGAGTCAAAAGACGCTTGACCAACTGAACCACCCAGGTGTCCCCTGCTCAAATTTCTGAACAGTCTCCAATAAATTTAAGACAGAGTCCAAACTCCTCAGCCTACCTCCCAAGGACCTATATGGTCCAGCCCCTTTCTATATCTCACTGCTAAGCAACTCTATCTTCATTCCCATGTCTTCAGTCCAGCTATCTAAAACTTCTTTCCATTTTTAAAATTCAAGAACCTTCAAGTTCACAAACTCTAGTCTTAATCTACTCTAATTATACTTTAGATCTGAACTTAAAAGTAACTTTCCTCTGAAACATTACCTGAACGCTGAAATATAAGAGGTTGTATTATTCTTTCCAAATATTTACCTTCCTTCCACAAAAGGATACATCTCCACTGCTTGCAATGCCTCCTATGAAGAATAATGCCCATTCCCTCCCCCCTGATGTTAGGCTCACTCACATGCCTCGTTTTGACCAACAGATGTAAAAAAAATATATGTGATAGATGCCACTTCCAAGAAACTCAAAAAGCCATCATGGTATCCTCCAGATCTTTCTGCCACTAGAAAAGCACGTTAGAGGGTTGCCTGGGGTGGCTCACTCGGTTGAGCATCCAACTCTTCTGATTTTCAGGTCAGGTCATGATCCCAGGGTTGTGGAATCGAGCCACACGCATCGGGCTCTGCAATGAGCAAAGAGCCTGCTTAAATTTCTCTCTATTTCTGGGGGCGCCTGGGTGGCTCAGTTAGTTAACCTGGAAAACATTTAATTCCTTGTGGCTCACGTTGTATTTCTACTGGACAGCACTGTCTACCTAGGGTTTACATCTAGGAATGAACGCCCTCTGACAATACATTAAAAGTTTAATTAACGAGTAATCTAAGATTAATCCCAAAAATCAAAAACTTGAAGTCCTACAACCCCAACATTGGATATTTTTAACTTTATGTAACTCTGTTCTGGTTGTTACTTAAGACTTATGTTACAAGAAAGAGGAAAAAATCAAAATGAAGAGGAAAAAAAGCCCATTAGAAGGATATTGAGTCAGCTGCCTCTAAATCCTATTTCAGATTTTAGGTTACCAAAATAAGTCACTTACTCTCAAATAACTACTCAGAGCAAATGCCAATTTAGGTTTTTATGTTCCAGCCACTGCTGCACATATAATTGCAGACAAAATGTCAAAGCAATTCTCCAAAGGTTGTGTAAGTTATAAATGACAAGATATTCTGAAATCCTATATATCTCATTATGCATCTACTTTTTCACTGAGTTCAAGAGCTACCTCCCCACAATATGCTGCCTCATTGTTCTCTTTAAGCCTTGTTTCTTTCAAAAAGTACTTGATAGCCTGAAAGGAAGTAGCCCAGAAAAGTATGGAGGTTTAATAAGCATAACTATAACCCTGAGAGTTCTAAGTGAAATGACAAAGCACAACTCCAGATTTGCTTTTTTATCCTATTTCTGTCTTTGGAACACTCTGTCATCAGGTTAAAAACAATTCTAATCTAGTTTAATTTCTCACTTTTAAGAAATTAAATTATAAAAACCAACCTAAGAAATCATTATTCCAACTGTCCAATAAAATCCTGGCTTGCAACTACAATTTAACTCCAACTCTTACAACTCGGTTGTAGTCACTCTTGCCTAGAGGCAGATTAACTATGTCCTAACAGATCCTCCGCGTTATATCAGCTAAAAGCTCTCATAGGGGAGCCTGGATGGCTCAGTCCGTTAAGGATCCAATTTCAAGGGCTCAGGTCATCTCAGGGTTCATGGGGTTCATTGGTTCTAGCCCCCCAATGAGCTCTGTGCTGACAGCTCAGACCCTGGAGCCTGCTTCGGATGGTCTCCCTCTCTCTCTCTGCCCCTCCTTCACTAGGATGCCTCTCTGTCTCTCAAAAATAAATAAAACATTAAAAAAATAAAATACAATAAAACAAAAGCTCTCATATATTGATGCTACAAGGTTATGAGTAGATGTTCCTAAGCTTTACAAAAGAGAATAGCAATACAAACATATTAGCTAATACAACATACATTATTAGCTTACACCAGGCTGCTAGTAGCTTTAGTTCCTCCTTAAAACCCATCTTAACTTACTCACTGTATTATCCTATTGCCAGATAATCACATCAATAATTGATTCTGATCATCTTTACAAGGAAGATCTAGTGTATTGCCTTAGTATTAACCTAGGAAGTAACATCTTACAGATTCAAAGCTATAATACAATAAACATGATCATCAATATATAAAACCCAGTCATTAAATGTGTCCATCCATCATTCACAACTACAACTGGAAGTTTAATGAAGAGGTACAATAATGCCTTCAAGAACATACCATCACTTTAAGCTTTAAGTCAATAAAATACTACACTGATTTGCTCTTGCATATACATCCAATCAAAAGGCAGGTGTTAGGAGAAAATTAAAGTATCAATCCTATTAAAAACATAATTGTAACCATTAATTAAGAACTGGAAACAGCATACTTCAAATGCAGCTGTTAACCAACCACATACCTGTTCTCTATGAAATCACTAAAAGCCTAATAAAGAACTATGCCAGCCTGCCAACCACACTGTACGATTGTTTAAAACCATCCTCAAAGATGGGGCGCCTGGGTGGCTTAGTCGGTTAAGCGTCCGACTTTCGCTTAGGTCATAATCTCGAGGTTCATGGGTTTGAGCCCCGCGTCGGGCTCTGTGCTGACTGCCAGCTCAGAGCCTGGAGCCTATTTCAGAGTCTGTGTCTCCCTCTCTCTCTGACCCTCCCCTGCTCACGCTCTCTCTCTCTCTCTCTCTCCTAGAAATAAATAAAAATATTAAAAAAAAAAAAAAAACCATCCTCAAAGAGCTTCCACTTGTAGAAATTCCCATGGAAGTAACTTCCCCCTTAACATGCAATGCAATTTAAGGACCCATTTGTTAAAAGAGTTCTAAATACTGGCATAGGAAATTCTTAAAATGAAGAACTTTTAAAAATACCTAACACTTAAAAAGTTGCAGGTTTCAATTTTCAATTGTCATCATTAAGAGAAACTCCTCATATACATCATTACATTTCATTTATTTCTGTAAACATTATGAAAAAGCCTGTGCTGCCAATTCTAAATTAGCTATCTCTTAGCCATTTTTCACATGGCTCAACACCTATCACAGACTTGGAACTTGTCTCTACTGAGTGTTTCTGATTCGACACTAACAGAAGACATAAAAATAAACATTTGATAATCCTAGTGTGAGTATCCATCAACTGCTCAAAAAATGGTATCTGAATAACATTTGAAAAGGATATGGCAGATTCCCACAGTAATTTTCTTTTACCCCACTGATGTTTGAAAATATCAAAAAAAACACAAACAAACAAACAGCAGGACACCTTTAGAATAATGCTGGACTTAGTAGAGTACTTCTCCAAAGCTTTCCAAAAATCCTCACAGGACGAGAAAAAGAACCAGAATACCACCGGAATCACTCCCTGAAATGCACCTAATCTCTCTCATACCTGGAACTGACAGAAGTTGACTAACATGAAAAACCAAGCATTCCACCTTCTTCTCTAGATTTACATACAGGTTAAGGTAGAAAGGCGCTGCATTCTACTCCTGACTCCTATTTCCGAGTATCTGACCTTTAACAAGTCCACCCTGACCCTCTGGGTCCACTTGACAAAGGAGGCTGGAGAATCCCACCATTCCCCAAGAGCCATTGCAGCTACAGGATGCTCTAGTTCTATTTCTCCAAGAGCTTTCCTTAAAGCGCAGGCTCACCTTCCAGGCCCCTTTGTATGTAAACACCCAACATCCACAAACTGCACCTGAACAAGAATGAGGCTACCCTGTAAAAGATCATATTAAAGAGAGAAACAAAATGAAATCAAATGGTATCATCGCTCACATGGACACTCCCTCCCACACAAAAAGCAAGCAAGCAAACAGAAACTAAGAAATCAAGTCCTTCCAAAGGAAAAGGGCTAATAAAACTCAATATATTAGCCTTCACTCCTGAAGCGTTCCCTAAAGAAAGCGTGGATTCAGAAATGCACGTCTTTTTTACACTTGCGCTTCAAAAAGGACTCATCTGGCATCCATAAAAAAAAGTCACTAACAGTTGTACAACTAAAGACTTCAAGCTTACACAAGAAACCTTAAAGGATGATTAAAAAGAGGATGCGTCTTATTTAAAACATCAGCCTCCTGTTCCTAAAATACAACATAAAACCGTTAAGTAGGTCTTGGGATTTCCTTAAGCGTTCATTTAAAGACAGATACCCATCTCCTAAATCGTCAACATTTCAAACCTGTGCATGCCGGGGAAGAAAGGCATCCCAGGATAACTTTTTCTTCCCCTTCCCCGGCCTGGAAATTCGTTCTGGGGTACGTGCCTCACGATCCTGTCAGTTCACCACCAGCCTGAAGTCCGCTCGGGAGGAGAAAAGCCCCAGTGCCCCCGCGGAGATCGGGATAAAACGCACACAAAAAATCTTGCACAAGCCGGATCACGAGGCCGCATGGGTACAAGTGCAAAAACTTCAAGTGGAAGGTTTAATTTAAAGAGTAAAGGCAGCCAAGGAAACCCTCTCCCGTTCGCACTGGGGGGCCTAATGCCACCTGGGGGGGAAAGGGGGCCGCTCCTCGAAAGCGAGGCCCCGGGGACAAAGTGCGGAGCCGGGAAAGGATGGAGGGCGCAGGGCTCCGGGCCGGCCCGCTCCCCCGCCCGCCCACCCCGCAGAACGGCGGGCTCGAGCTCCCGCCTGGGGCTGCAGGCCCGCCGGCGCCGGGCGCGCTGACAGCTGCCAGAGGCGCGGGCGGCGCGGCCCTCCGGGCCCGGCGAGCCCCCGGCCCACCCCGCCCCACCCCGCGGGCGGCCCGGCGGGCCAGGCTGGAAAGGATACTCCCGGGTGCGGAAGGCCTCCTGAGTGTGCGCGATGGTGAAGAGCGGCTCCTCGCCGGGAAGCGGCTTCACCAGCGGGAAGGGCTTGCGGCCCAGGAGCGGCGCCATCGCGGCGGCGGCGGCCCAGAAGGCGACGGCTCCTCGGCGAGCCCGCGGCGCAACACTAGGCCCCGCGGCCCGGAGCGAGCGCCTGGCTCACGGGGGTGGGGTGGGGGAGGGGAGGGGTGAGAGGGCGGCGCGAACTCGGCTCCCTCAGTGCTGGCGCGGCCGCGCGAGGGCCATGCAACGGGACGCAGGGACACGGAACTCCCACGCACACCGCTGCGCCGCCCGGCAGCCTCCGGCCCAACCTTCGCTACGGGTCCCCGCGTTCGGCAGTCACGACTCCTCCTCAGCTGCACCGGAGGAAATTATTGAAAAATGGCGGGAGATTCCCCTCCTCCCCCCAGCCCGGCCAGCGCACACACTAACTTGCTCCCCCGTGGCGCCGGTGGCGAATGCTCCAATAGGCGGAGAGCCGATCAGCGCTCACAGTCTATTGGCTCATGGGAGCTGCCGCTCTGCGCCCGGGTCCCGCCCCCTTTCCGGGCTGCGGAGTTGGGTTGCAGCGCACCAGAGGGCAGTATGAAGAGGTGAAAGGTCACGTTATGTAAGTGATGGTGACAGGCCTGCGGGCCTCCAGCGGCGGAGTTGAAAATGGGGGTCAGCGGGGGACCGAAGGGCCTGGAATTCAAAGAGGTCAGACCAGAGAAGCCCCTTAACATCCACAGACACTGCGCCATCTGTCACCGACGGCGACACCGACATCCGGGCACCACTGTCCGTGTGGTGCGCCGGAGGGGGAGGGGGAGCGCGCGGCCAGGGGCTTTGTCTTTCCACTGTGCTCCGCCCCCTTCTTAAAGGCGCCGCGCTCGGCCACGCCCGGGGAGGCGCGGGTAGGGCGGAAAGGAAGGAGGGGTTGGCGGGAATAAACCCCAAGACCTTACCCAAGCGAAGGTTCCCCTGAAGGACAGTTTGAGCCCCAGTCTTGCTCGCCCCAAAGTTAACTTCTTTTGGAAGAGAGTGTTGTGGAGATGTAGATACTAGTATGATGCTTGTTTTTAGGGGCTTGGTGGAAAGCATAATACAGAAGCTTCTAAAATATATTGAAGGACGTACCTGGTAAAGTTACATCCATTAATTCTGATAATCTTTCCTAGCACCTACAAAGCTCAGGGCTCTGTACTGGGAGCTTCAGAGGAAAAAGAAAAAATAAGACAGAGACTGTCCTGAAAAAGAATAAGAGGCACAAATAATGACAGTTCGGTGAAGAGTGCTGTAGGAAGCGCACAGTAAGAAGACAGCAGTAACTGCCTGGAGAGTGAGGACGTTTGAGCCGCTTCCCCAACCGCACTACACTCACAAAGTCCAAACTCTGGCTATCCAGTACATTCCGAAACACTCATTAATAATTCTCTTCCTATTAAATTGTGCCCCTCCTTTCGAAGATCTTCACTGGCCTTAGAACATACCTTCCCAGCCTGTTCTTCAACAGGGCTGGGAAAGCAGTCGCGCATACCGGTGCCAGACCCTTTTCTTGTCATCTTGAAGTGAGAAGCATCCCGCCCCCTCCGCCGAAAGGCAAGTTCGAGGTCAGAAGATCCCTATGAAACCTCCTCTGATCACCTAGCAGAGATGGGAATGCATCCTCCTTCGGTAGCTGTTCTCCTAAAAGGATTACGAGCAACCTGAGAGAATAGGGCATTTGAGTTGATTGTGAAAACATGAGTAGCATTTCACTAGACAGAGAGATGAAGGACAAACATTCTAGGTAGAAGGAGCAGCAGGGCCAACTTGGTAGATTCAGGACAACACACCTTAAAAGGTAGGGATTTTGAGGCGGAAAGTATCGAGAGATGAGGGTGGCGAAGGAAGTGATCGTCCTGGCCACAGCGTGTGATGGCTGAAGTGACCACTTAGAAGGGAATTGTAGTTGTTTGTGGCAGGGATACCAAGAGACTCAAGTGTAACAAGATCAAGGGAGACAGATGGACAGATTTGAGAGGCACAGACCAGGTGACTAATGGTCATTTGCAGGACTAGATCCCTAACAGCAGACTACACACAGAGTAAGACTCAAAGAACATTAAGAAAAAAATTTTGGAAAAAATTTGGTATTTCAAAAAAGGGTCTCTAATTGCACCTGAGAGTGGGGAACATCATCATTTCAGCACTTGGGGCCACTGTGAGCTGGAATCCAGCCCTGGTGTTGGTAAAGTAGAGATCTAAAGTGGGAGAATCAGGGGGCACCCTGGTGGCTCAGTCGGTTAAGCGGCTGACTCTTGATTTGGGCTCAGGTCATGATCTCACGGTTCGTGAGTTCGAGCCCCGAGTCGGGCTCTGTGCTGACAGCTTGGAGCCCGCTTAGAATTCTCTCACACTTGTTCTGCCCCAACCCGCTTGTGCTCACTCTCTCAAAATATATAAACTTAAAAAAAAAATAGCAAACTTTAATGTGACCTCTGCTTGGTAGATGTCCTCCATTTCTGTGGCTCAAATTTACAAATAATAGAGTTGATTAACATGAGATTTTACCATCTTGTCCTAAAGATGTTAAGAAAAAAAAAAAAAAAAGCAGGGCGCCTGGCTGGCTTAGTCCATGGAGTCTGTGACTTTTGATCTCCAGATCATTAGTTCAAGCCCCATGTTGATGCAGAGCTTACTCAAAAGAATAATAATAAATTTTTTGACATTTTAAGAAAGAAAAATAATGGAAGCTATCAGTTTCCTGCTCTGATATCTTCACTGACTCTTGTTGAAGACAAAACTCTTCGGAGTTTACTCTTCCTATGCAGTCCTCAAACTCTTAACGGCAGCAAGCCCCTACTGGCCTACTTCCTCCTAATTCCCAGAATTCATTAGCTTTATTCCTACCCACTGCCGGAAATGGACTTTCTTCTCCTCTGTGCATTTCAATCCCATACTTCCTTCCTAATGCCTTTTCCCAATTGTTCCAGCCCACATCCGCTTTTACTAAACTCTCAAGTTTTTTAACCATAGTTTTAGCAGAATTCGTTGTTCACTGTGTTTTCTCTCCTAAGGCTTGAATAAGCAAGTTAATCAAAAAAGAAAGGAATTAAAATGTGTAGTTTCCAGGTATCTGCACCAAAGCTTCTATTGTTCAAAGTCGGCTATGGCCACTTAGCCTCAGGAATCAGCCAGTCTAAGGAAGCATTGCCATTTCCCTACACGGATCCCCAGCAGGAAGTTTTAGGGCCTGAGCTCCGTCAGCAAGATCTGTTTCTGTGGTCTGTGTCATGTGGAGCTATGCCCCGCCATGTACCCCTCCTCACTGATGCAGACACAATCCTTTGCTTAGACAGTCCCGGCTCCTGGCTTGTCTTTTCCTAGCTGTGCTGCTGGTTCCTTAAACTCAAAACATCCCAGACCCACAATCTTAACATCTTCCTTCCCTCCATCATCTGCTCTATCTGGATGGTTTTCATTTCTTTTAGCGGCCCACCTTCCTCACAACCTCACGGGCTCAGGCTTGACCTCCCCTGAGCTCCATAGCCATAGGGTCAACCAGATGATGTCTTGAACTGCCTTTCCTGCCATCGCCACAGCATCCTACTTCAGGCCTTTATTCTTGCTGTCCCAGACTACTACTATAATACCTTTCTTCTTTTAAAATGTTTTTGGGGTGCCTGCCTGGGGTGCCTCTCAGTTGGTAGAGCATGCCACTCTCAACCTGTGAATTCAAACCCCGGGTTGGACATGGAGCCTACTTAAAACTAAAAGTTTTAAACTCCATTAAAATTATGTCTTTTTTTATGGTAAAATGAACGGTGGTTCCCAAAAAGAAACATTTAAATGTACTTTAAAAAACAACAACAAATAGTTCTACAAAAAGCAGCCCTGGGGGCTCTTTCTTCATCCACTTCCTGTTCCCTCAAGCACTCATTTTCAAATTGTTAAACTGTGTTAAAATTGGTAGAAAGGAAACTTCATTTTTTTAATGTTTATTTTTGAGAGAGGGAGAGAGTGCGAGCGCTCAGGAGACAGAGTGCCAATGGGGGAGGGGCAGAGAGAGAGGGAGACAGAATCCGAAGCAGGTTCCAGGCTCTGTCAGCACAAACTCATGAATGGCAAGATCATGACCTGAGCTAAAGTCAGACGCTTAACCAACTTAGCCACCCAGGCAACCTCCAGATTCCATTTTAGGTGAAGTTTCCTCGGGGTGCCTGAATGGCTCAGTCGACTTTGGCTCAGGTCATGATCTCACAATTTGTGGGTTCGAGCCCCACATTGGACTCTCCACAACCAGCTCAGAGCCTGGAGCCTGCTTCGGATTCTGTGTCTCCAGACTCTCTTTCTGCTACTCCCCCACACACAGGCTCTCTCTCAAAAATAAACAAAAAAAAAAACTGCAATTTCTCTATGGAAGAAATTTCCAATTTTTTTTTTTTAAGTTTATTCGTTTTGGAGAGAGATTGCTAAATAACATATATGTTGCTAAGTTTGTTTCTCAGTTTTAGTGTTAGCTGTTGACATTCTTCAATGGAAGATGAGGACTTAACCCTCTTACATCCCCCACAAATACCACATACATTCAATCATATTCCCCAAATAATTACTGTAATCGGTTAAATCCACATTCAATGTATAACTTATGATTATTATTCCCAGATGATCCACATGGCGGATTACATTTCCTTTGTTTTCGCTGGTTTGCGTCAGCCTATTTCCACTTCATTTTCTAAGTACCTGTCACCACTCTATCCCTAAACTGACACAACTCTTAAGTCTCCTCTCAATACATGCAGACCTAGCATGTCTTCCAATTTGTCCTCTGCCTCTCTCCTTCCCTAGGCATTTTGCACACTACCTCACTCCCCCGCTCTGGGCTTTCGGTGGCCAGCTCCCTGAAGTCAACAAAGTAAAATCAGACTCTTTGGCCCTGCCTTCAAAGCCCTCCACAATCTGTCCTCAGTCTTTCTTCTACTTCCCTGGAACCCCTTACTCCAGTAAACTAGGTTTATCTAGGTTTCTAAATACCATTCCCCACTAAAAGGATCCAGGGCTTCTGGGGAAAAGGAATAGTGCTTGCAAAGTTCAAGGTGAGTCAGGAACAACTTGGGCCTAAAAATAAGAAAGTCCTCAAATAGTGATGGGGACATGTCAAAAGGACTCAGGAGCCAGCATGAAGGGATTCTGACTGAATCTGGGACAATTTGAACATTTAAAAGAAATGACAGCAATGGACTGTAACACACTGAATGTAAGGGGAAACCATGGGCCATAGTAATGTTCAGAGAGAAGAGAGGGAGGGAGGGAGGCAGGCAGGAAAGAAGGGAGGGAGGGAAGGAAAGGAAAGGAATGGAGGGAGGAAGGGAGAAAGGGGAAAGAGGAAAAAAAGAAGGAAGGAAGGAAGAAAAGGAAAGAAAAGAGGAGTAAGGGTAATC